ACTGAGTCCCGTTGAATCATGCGCGGCTTTTTGCTTTCAATACAACTAGCTGAGCGCGCCGTGTTGCGATCCGCGGACGAAACCGAGGCTTTTTCAGAGAACATCCAACATAATACGCCATCGATCGCAGCAACTTCGCCGGCTTGTTAACATCTACGTCTTCGCGAAACCTTCACTCTCTTCATTAAATGATTTCTCGGGTGAAAATGCCGATCCGTACTTGTAGGATTATTACCTCAGGATTATTACCGGAGGCGTTATTTCGGAGAGGGATACAGAGGGGCTTTCGCCCTTTCGAAACTTGGTAATGTCACTTTCCCCTCGATGATTTTGGTCCATTTCAAAGGTCTCTCAAGATTATTTGGTGAGAAATATCGGATGAAAACAGTGGCGAAGCATGAATGTTCAATTATCGATATTTCTCCATATGTAGCTATGGCGAAAAATCGATTATTCAGGTGTTCGTCGCAAACACCCTGTTTCTCTATACTTTTCCTCGAGTTTAAGTGGCAGATCAATAATCGGTATATCATTAAGTAGGCCACGCCACTGGATTAAAATTAATTCATTGTTTCAACAGAAACACTGAAAAAAAAATAAATAAAAACTCCGGCCTTGGAAACCGTACTTACAAGTTATATAGACATACCGTCCGTTCCGGGCTCAGAGGCCGAAAGTTCCGGGCGTAGCACCTAGGGCAATGGAAGCTACGGCTCCAGCACCCGTAATTTTCGGCATCTGGGCCCAGAACGGACGGTATGTCTATATAACCGGTAACTTTTTTCAGTGAAGGAAAAACAAAATAACAGCTCTCACGGATTGATTCATCTCCGTCGAATTAGGTCTGTTTGGTAAGAGATAAATCAACGTTAATAGCCTTTCCTCAATGCGTGTGTGAAACCTTGGCGATGTTAGACATTAAAGCGGTGCGGTTTGATTGTTGGGGAGGAGTAGGGTCCGAATTGCGAGCAAGATCAACGCCGACAACGGAGTGGCGGCGGCGCCGGGCCAGGGTTCGAAGGCGGACAGAGCGGCGCGGCGTCCAAGACCTCGAACCACTGAACCGAATCGGACTGTCCATGCGAAATACCACCATTGCACAATCCCCCGTTCCGATCCGACTCAGGAATGCGTGGACACGCGTGAATCTGTCACCGCGGACACTCGCGCATGCAATGCATCCGAGTCCTAAAAAAATGCGCTTGAAATAGAATTCAAGCAGAGGTAATGGACCACTAGACAAGGTACGAATTTCAGCATTCTAATACATGCTTTTCAACCAAAATTTCACGTAGAACACGATGCGCTCAACGAAAATGACCAAAATCAACTCCTTACGAAGATATTCAATAATTTTGATGCGTGAATTCAAACCACCCGCTCATGAAAAACTCAATGCTCTACGTGATTCACATCGCGCTCTAAACGTTTATCATGACAGTCTCTGCGATATAAAAATCTGGCAACTTCAATCTTGACGCTTTGGCTCAGCTATAGCAAATTGCTTGCAGTTTGAACAACACATGGTGGGAAATGAACATTGCTCGATTGAGAAGATTGCTGAAACCGTTGTAGTGCGCGATTTGGCTCACGTAGAGCTTTGAGTTTCTTGTGAGCGGGCAGTTCAGATTCCTCGTGACCAATGTGAAATAAAAACATTAATATCTTCGTTAGGAGTTGGTTTCAGTCATTTTCGTTGCGCGAATCGTGTTCTGCGTGAAATTTTGATTAAAAAACATGTAGGTATCAGAATCCTTTAATTCGTACCTTGTCTAGTGGTCCATTCTGTTAGTCTCACGGGTTCTGTTTTTGAGGACAATGGAGATACTGCATGTGTGAGAAATTTGCGATTTGACAGCTGATTCCTGTGTAAAAGTTCGCGAGAAACACGATGGTGCCACTGGTTTTCTCTAAAATCAACTCCGAAGCTCAAAAAAGGCTCTCAAGTTGAAGCCCAAATGGAGGGGATATCCCACGCTATCCTGAGAGTCCACCTCTACATCAAAACAAACTCTCCGTGCAAAGATAGGGAGCAAATACATTAGCACGGATGCCGGGTTTTCAGTTTTAGAGTCCCCGAATAAAATGGCAGCCTTGTCAATGTATTTGCTCCCTATCTTTGCATGGAGAGTTTGTCTTGATGTAAAAGTGGACTCTCAGAATAGCGTGGGATATCCCCTCCATTTTGGCCTCATCTTGAGAGCTTTTTTTGAGCTTGGGAGTTGATTTCAGAGAAAACCAGTGGCACCATCGTGTTTTTCGCAAAATTTTACAAAAGAATCAATAGTCAAATCGCAAATTCCTCACACATGCAACATCTCCATTCGCTGAGGGATGCAGGAAGAACATTTTTTCTTCGTCTATATAAGGGTTGATTTGTTTGATTGGACAACCTTATAAATTTTTGGTCGTTGGCCGATGCTTCTTGAATAGCCTGTGAAGATTAGAAAAAGAACCTAACCTACCCCCTGATATTTTTATATTTTATAAACGGATAACCAATTAAGCCTAAAGTTAAGAAAGAAACTATGTGGATCATAAATTTCAAAAAGTCTGGAAATCACTTGATTTAAGATAATTAAAATCATATAGATAAAACAATGTTAAATTAACTAAGGTTAATCTTTTATAAAAAAAAAAATATGTATATGTTTCATGTCAAAATGAGAGAAAAATTGGTACAGAGCATTCAGTGAAGCAAACCGACCTTTTCAATTAAACTTTGTAAGAGGCATTTGATGGAGAAACTGTTGGCAGGGCCGGATTTAGGGGGTGGCCACATGGGCCGCGGCTCATTGCGGCAATTTTAGGGGGCGGCATATTTTGCAATTTTTTAAATGTAAGTATTGAAAAAAATTGGATTCAGAGAAAAAATTACAGGCAAGAAAAGGCGACAAAATCTCTCATTTCCAGAAAGTAAAGTAAATTCTAATTTTGTCGTCTTTCGGTGATGCAAGAGACAGAACCTTTAATTAGTCGAGTCTGGAACGACGCGGTGCAGAGAGCAATGATGACGAGGACTTGAGATGAAAAGGATGCCCTCAGCGCAGCGGTCGGCATTTAACACACATCAGCGCCTACAAGACTGCATGAATACTTCACGCATTGCGTCAAACACAGTGCAGTCAGCGCGGCGCGGCGCGGTGGCAGAAGTTTAAATCATTAAACCACATTTATGTTGGTTCTTTCATAATTTTTTTGTTCATTTCTTATAAATGGAAGGCCTTGTCCACATAGAGATAAGTTCACGGAACTTAACTTTCGACCAAAATTCCGTGAAATTTTGCTAATAGCGTTGACGGGGCTTTCGCAAAAAAATGTTTCCAACACGAGTAAACGCTCTTATGCACCCCTCCCCTCCGGCACTTTACCTGATAGTTTTTATTGATGTTTCAAAACGAATGAGAAAGGGGCGGCAAAATACAGGTGGCCATGGGCGGCAATTAGATAAATCCGGCCCTGAGTGTGTCTTGAAGAAAATTTCACGAGGAAACACTTTTAGAACCTTAAAGTTTGTATTAATGGAGTTATGAGCTCTTAAAGTTTCCAAATTTTGTTCGACCTCTCCTATTGACTCAATCCACTCTGCGTCTGTAAAGTATATTTAATTTGAAATGATTTTTGAATCCTCCACGCCATACGCGATTTCCCATAGCATTGATTGAAGGAAAATTCTTTATCACGTTAAATTGGAAGATGCGAAAAATTAGGTCGTATCAAGGTAGACAGATTAAGTTAAGAGGCCAATTTTCCCCTCTTTTTTGGAAGTTTTTTTTAGGGCCGATGGAGAACCTTAATCAAAGATGGATCGTCATCATTTTTCTGTTCCATAATCATCACCAAAGATTCAAGATCTTATCAAGAGAAAAATGATCGATCGGCATACACCGAAAAAAAGGATGCTAATTTAACATTCTGGATGTAAAAAAGTTTGCGACAACTCACAAAGCGCTGAATTAACCGCCACAGCAATTAGTTTTACATATAAAATGGAAACGTACAAGTGAGTTTATTAAGACTATTTTAATTGTAAAAAGAAATATATATATAGTATTAGTAACAATAACCCCGGCCGATGATATACCTGCTGGTAATTCCGGCGTGTCTCGGGACGCAAATATACTTAATTAAAGTGAATCTTGAATTAATGACTTAATATGATATGAATGATATTTAAATGATGAGACTTGCAAATTATTTGTAAAATTATGTATTTCTAAGATAAAAAAAATAAAAAACATACAATTACATCTTGACATTCCTACATTAACTGCTGTGGCGGTTAATTCAGAGTTTTTTTTTTTTTTTTTTTTTTTTTTTTTTTTGTAGGTTTGCGACGTTGTTAGATTTCATTTTTTCTTTGAAAAGTTAGTCCACGTAATTTCTTGAAAACTTCTTGGATTTTTTGCCTCTGTCGGCAGAATATTTTGTTTAAATTTCAGGCTATTCTAGCTTATCCCTTAAGGAAAAAATAGAATAAGAGCGGACATTTTGAAACATCGCAATGAAGATACGTGGTTTTCTACTTTGGCCGTGGATATTTTTCCTTTAAGGGTACTCTATCCGAGCCCACCCGAGCATCCAGTCTCGAAAGACGTGGAAAGACCGCTTCCTACCCGCGCCGCCCAAATAAGCAGAGACGAGAAACGCGACCGCGCAAAACAAAAGCCAGCTCGCGCTTCCGAAACCGCGCGCACTTACAACTTACAAAGTTGCACTTTCCCGCGGTTTAATTGCGGCCCGCCGAGCGGGGGACAAGGGAAGGGGAGGGGGGGGGCGCACGACTCGATCGAAAATGAAATTGTGGATGTAAATAAGCGATATCAAGGCTGCGAGGCCGGAACGGGTATGCGCCGAGCAAAAAGCGCGTACATGCACGAGCTTCCAGTTGGAGTTATGCGGTTTTAACTCAGCGCGGTAGAACGGGTCTGGTGTCCGGCGGCCAACAAAAGCAAGGAGAAAATGCGCGCCGAGGCCGGGTATATAAGCTCGACTTTGGCCCTCACACCGCTTATAACGCTTTTCAAGTTCAAGGTCTCGAGTTCGAGTCCTCCGGAGTGCTTGAGTTTGTGGTTTTGGCGCGACTTTGTGGACTTTTCGTCGCGAATATGTTCGACTCCCTCGTGTTTTTGGCTGTTACGCTCTCCATCTTCTGTTTGATCAAAGTGGCCGAGCCCGCGTCCTACTATGGGTACCATCCGACCGATAAGGTTAGTTTCCTCTTTGTCTCGTGACTCCAAAACATCCAAAAAAGTGATATGGAGCCAAATTACCCCCCACCTATGTCTAATTTACAAGTTTAATTTTGTGAGCCATTCTTTATACATTTTTACCACTCGCGGTTTTCGATCAGTCGTGACAACCCGTGCTGCATTTTTGACGTAAAATTTGTAAATTTGATTGAATAAAAGTGCGATAAATGTTTGAATAGTACAAGTGTGATGAGGTCAAGTTTTTTTTTAAAAAAAAATCATCCCAACTACACTGAGAAAAAAACTTCGGCCTTATGAAACGAATTCACGGTGTTCCATATCGGCCGTATCGTTTGGTTCATGTAACAGTTCTCTCGGTTCTAAACCAAATAGAACTAACAAAAAAGTTTGGTCGCAAAAACCGAGAGTACGATTCCCAGAACCGAGAAAGTGGACGCATGAACTGGACATTCCGGCCGATATTCAACACCGTACCTACGGTTTCTTATGACGGGACTTTTTTCTCGGTGTATCTTATTGACTCTTACGGCTCATTAGATCAGTCAGTCAATAATTAGAGCACGATGAGAATTGTATAAATAATATTTTCAGAAATTATTTTATTTTCGGATGTCTCTAGGTCCAAAAAATTGTTTATTGCATTCAATGTAAAAATATTGAACAAAGCAACGTCTATTTAATACCCATCTCACGTGTTTGCTTTTCATTTTTATTCTTCCTACTACCGACAAAGTGATTTATCCAAAATATGATGCAGTTTACTCTTAAAAAATATTTTGTAATTTTTAAATATGCGCACACCTAAAATATCATTAGGAGGACACATTTGCTAGCGAAAGGAGTGTAGCTCCCCCCCCCCCACCCCCTCCCATCGGTTGACAAAAATTTTTGGAGATTGATAAGTTAATTTGTACTATACAGTTGCAAAGGAGGATTAGACTTTGATATTTGATCATGCGCTCTTTCTTTTATTTTCTTTCATCGAACTCTTTTTTGCTACTCTTGCGTTCAAGTCTCTGTGACGTGTTGATATACTATCGCGCAAGAACCAACTTTCCTTCTCCTTGCTTACGTGAATCTTTTAAAATCTCTTATCATTGAGTTGTTTTTGATATTAATTTTTAAGACAGAATTCAAAATGTTATTATGACAAACTCAAACAATAATTTTGTTACGATGAAGAACAAGTTTGGTTAGTTTTTGAGAACTTTTTATTGCGCCTCCGATTTGCTGCACTTCGATTTTTGTTACACCACTATTGAAGTCTAGACAACTATGTAAATGTCGGACCTTTTGCTTTTTACTTATTATGGTATTATTTTAGAAAATTCCACACAAACGTTTCATAGATTACGGACGCACTCCCACATTTAATTGAATTTAAAATAACTTATGAAAATGCTGTACAGAATTACAGAAATTAAATGCAATAGAAAAGAGTCAAATAAAATGAGTCCGTGCTCAAATGAATTTATACGCAATATTAGAGTGAGATCATTCATTTTGATTCTTACATTCACTTCCAGAGCGAAAATAGAGATCGCAGATCTAATATCGCACTTCAGAGGTGCGTTTTATTTCGCATGGACTCAACCATATTAACCGAGTGAGTGGAATCTTCAATGAAATTGGCTTGCTTAAAAGACGCCTCCACTGTGTTTGGATTCTCATAATCACTCGGTTAAAATCTGCATGGCTTTTTACTGGTCTTTGATTTGTTTAAAAAAATTTAAAAAAACTTACAAGTTCTATGGAAAGTTATTATGGAAGAATAGTAGTTGGTAGCCAATCAAAGATAACTCTTCAAGTGCCCTAGTAAAAATTGGCAGTAGAATCTGTGTTCTAAAATACCATAAACCTACGGCCGGCTGTAAGATTTCCAATAGCTTCTATAGCCGGCTACACAATTTCTTATAGCCTTTTATAGCCGAAGGCGACTAAGCAACTCACAGCCAGGCGATAAAGCGTATGCCAAACGTCACTAATTACGGATGCTAGGACTTGGTGAGTTTTTGGACCACTGCTTTCTTTTTGGGCCGTGGTATCTTGATTTATTTTGCGCGGAAAGCTCTGTACTTTTGATGGATGCCTGCCATTCCTAATATAATAGAGCGCCTTCAGTTTCGTATGATACTGTTCAATACCTCTGGTGTAAAATAGATGCTTCAAGCGCCGTGGCACGCTGCGGTGCGGCAGGCGGGCAGCCAGCTCGAAACGCGCATTGGCGCCTACAAACCTAACAGGGATACTTCACGCGTTGCACAATGCGTATAGTATCCCTGTTAGGTTTGTAGGCGCCAGTGCGTCGCCGCTCAGCTTTGTGTTAGGCTCTAATATTTAATCTGGCAGAGTCAGCGTTATTCAACTCATGATTTTGAAATGTTTACACATCCTGTATGGATTATTCTCGTTTTAGTTGATGAAAAACAAAATATGTATTAAAGGAAAAATATAACGTGTGTTTTGTAAATATTAAGGTGGTTCCGTATCAAACTTAATGAGTTCCAAAGCACACGAATTTCTACACAATTTCTTATAGCCTTTTATAATCGATGACGAAAAAGCAACAGCCAGGCGATATAGTGTAAAACCCGGCTATAGGAACTATCGCCCGGCTGCATAATTTTTTATCGCTCCGTATAGCCCGGCCGTATGATTTTCTCCGCATTCTACAGCCAGCTATATGATTTTCTGTAGCCTTCTTTAGCCGGCTATAAGAATCCCTATGGTATTTTGAAACGCAGCTCTTATCGCCAATTTTTACCAGGTTGGACATTCTTTCCTAGTATAGCACAAGGCGATACAAATGTTGATATAAAATTGAGATTTATTGCAATAATATTAAAATTTGTTTACCCTGGAATCGTTATATTTTTGTATCATTTGGTCTATAATTGCCAATTTTGAAGATCAACATAGTGTCATGTGTCAGAAAGATGTAGACAATATGCACTGCAATGAAACATTGCAACTTATTTCAATTTTATCGCAATAAATTTCAATGAGCGGTGTGCTTTCAATAAATTTTATAGCGCGTGAGTCTCAATAAATGGGGCCCCTTCAAATAGGAGCTAGGCAACATACATAACACTCAGTGGAATTGCAATATTCTTACTATGTACCTAATTGCAACTTATTGCAATCTGTGTAACTTGGGTATTCGCACTTCATTGAAACCTGTGCTACTTGGGCTCTAGTTTTGGGCAATGACAGAGCTTTCGATGTAAATATTCCTCTCTTACATAGTAATCAGCGTTATCTATGGAAATTCTGATGAAAAGGGGGTTATAATCTAGTTATTAAATAAAATAATTTAATTAGATGTTGTTTTATTATTTAATAATTTAATTTGCAAATTTAAACAATAAAAAACTATGTTGCAGCATGAGGTGGACGCTCCACACCACGAGCCGCACTACGAGCACGATCTCAAATACGAATTCGGATACAGAGTCCACGACCCGCACTACCACAACTACCAAGAAAGAGCAGAAGCCGGAGGTGGTGACGATGTCGAAGGATACTACAGGTATGCTTATTTTTCACCATTTTCTTTTTTAAAAAAAAACATTTAAAAAAATTTAAGAAAAAACATTAAAAAAACTCAAAATATTGAATGATGAGGCGGACATCAAGTGAATACTGCCGTACTAAGGAAAAACGCCGTATGAACCTTCAGGCGTCGCCAAATTTCCTTTGATAAAGTACAAATTTACCGTGGAGGTTGAGAATATTTTTCTTCCGATTTTTCCAACAATATTGTTCGCACATGAATCTAACACATCTAAAAGTTTCAAGGAAAAATATGCATAAATTTCTTCAAAAATGAACATTTTATCGTAGAAAATTTAGCAACTTTCGATTGTTCATGCGGCGTTTTTCCTTAGCACGGCAGAATAAGAGTTGGCAGGTGTCTAAAGTTTCTTAAATTTCATGTTTAAAATGAAACTGCTATGAGAACTGCACGAGGATATCCTTATGGTTTCTGAGTTGAACAAGTATTGAGGGAAATATGATAAAATGACCGAATCTGCTTAATTAAGGGTTTAAATGGGAAATGCCAAATACCATAACTAGGCGGTGCATTTTTGCACGTTTAAAGATATTTTCCTACAATTTCACACATCCGAAAAAATTTATCAAAAATACTGCGAACTTAGCTCATTAAATATTCTCAGATGAGGCAATAAAAATTGTACGTGCAAATTCACCATCATCAGCAATTGTCTGCGTAGTGCTACGCATAATATCTCTGTATGAATAATCCAAATAAATGCTGTTAATAAGTTGAAAAAGAAGATGTGACAGATGCTGATAAAAAAAACTGAGGAGAATTGATCAAGAGTTTGCTCAATGTCGTTCTGATTTTTCACTTTATCTCACAAAACAGCCGGATCATTAAGCCTGAATGTAGAAAATGTCCTAAATTTTCCTTCCTCTTGAAAGAATCAGTCACCATTATTGTTAAAATAAATGTAAAACTGAGGTCTTGGTAATGCGAGAATATTTTTTGGCCCAATCTGACAAAGAGCGGAAGGATAGCAAAGCGAACTCTCAGTCCCGGTTAGTATTAGCTGACATGCGCATTGAAATTGGACGCCGCGATTGGATTTTGATGTCAACGCCTAGCTCGAATACAACTATTCGTGCTCCGTGGATGTCCGGGTGGTATGCACAAAATTGAAGGCGTTTTTCGTTCCATTGCCCTCACGGCTCTGCAGAAACTAAAATCATGATCATCTACGAATTGTGCAAAGGTTACATTAGCGGTGTTTCATTCTGTTTTCACTGGAAGCGATTCCGCCAAGCTAAGAGGAAACGCCGCGCCGTTTCAATTTTTAGAGGTTGCCACATTTTTTCTGATAAAATCGTCTTTTTGTAGAATAATTATGGATGTTCTTTTTCGGCATACTCAGATGTGCTGAAGCAAATTTCAAGTAATATTTCATGGAGGATTAAAAATCAAAGGCAGTCAAGGAAAACAATCAAAATCTTTCAAGAAAACCCTTGTTTTAACTGAAGAAGCTTGGCGACGTCTGAATGTACATACGTTGCTTTTCCTTAGCATGGAAGTATTTTTATTCAACGGGAAAGAGAGAAGCCTTATTTTCTTCCAGGTATTTGTGCCAACGACGTGATTCAGGAACCCTCAAAAATTTCAAAATCATGTCATTGACAGTGAATGATTGGAAGGGGAAAGGCTCCTCTGTTTCCCGTGGAATAATAATACTTCCATGCTAAGGAAAAACGGCGTATGAACATTTAGACATCGCCAAGCATCTTCTGTTAAAGCAATGGTTTTTTTAAAGCTGTTGATTATTTTCCTTTTAAGTTTACAGGGCATATTATTCGTAATTTGCTTCAATATGCCTGAGAATGCCACGAAAGACCATTTATAACTATTCTAAATAATGACCATATTTTCAGAAAAAATTGGCAACATAGGCTCTGAATATTGATACGATGTTATTCCTTAGCACGGCAGAATAACTTCCTGCGTAAACAAAATGAAACATCGCTGCTGGAACCATCGCACAATCTGTAGACGATCATAATTTTAGCTCCTGCATGTAGCGCAGCGGTGGCCAGGAAACAAAAAACGCCTCCAATTATTTGCATACCACCCGGACATCCATGGAGCACGAATAGTTGCATCCAGGCGTTGACATCGAAATCCGAGCGCGACGTCTACTTTCATCGCGTGTCAGTATCATGCTATGATATTATAATCGAAAGTGCCATGCAACCGCGTCTTTTGTCAAAATGAACCAAAAGATATTATCTCATCCAAGACCTCAGTTCGGCATTTTTTTCAACAATGATGGTAACTAATTTTTTTGAGAGGAATGGACTTTAAGGACATTTCTTGCAGGCATAATAGTCGAAGTTCGTGTTTCACTTTTAGACTCTTGAGCACGCCGATTATTGGAAACTATGCTGACCAGGCGAGACATCGAAATGCGATAAAGTGAATTGTATAAATAGAGCTATGTACCCAGGGTACTATCGTACCCTACTAGCAATGGCTGTAGAGATTCATTTTTAAAAAAAACTGTTAAAGAAACAGTTAAAATTTACGAAGAAGGAAATCCTTTTGGGGATTTCTTTACGTGAAATTTACGAGAGACAAAATTCAAGTAGGTACCTAAAAACAGTGTTCGAAAACTCCTCAAGGACTTTAATTTTTTTAAACGTATTTACGTCGAAAAAAAGTTAAAAACCAGTGTATTATTATTAAGAGTTATTTTTTATGAGTTTTTCAACAATCGTTGTACTTAAATTTGACCTCTCGTAAATTTTGTGTAAAAAACTTCCCAAAAAAAGTTTCCTTCCTCGTAAATTTTATCAGATTTATTGATAGTTTTTTAATTAAAATTTACATGTTTTTTGAGAAATTTTTTACAGTCCCTGCACTTGTCTTTTAGCGGCTGCGCAGTTACAATAACCAGCCAGTAGGAAAGTACATAAATGATTTATGTGACCCCTAATACATTTTTGGTGTATGTTAACAGTTTCCTGGAGCCGAACGGATTCATCCGAATCGTGAAATACTCGTCAGACAAACACGGATTCCGGGCCGACGTAGCCCACCACGTGCCATCGGGCAAGAAAGAGATCAAGCACGGCAAATCAGACTCTTACTTCCCGCAAAAGAACAAGCACGCCAAGCAGTCACCGGACTACCCTTACGTCTAAACCATCATTCACATCGCTCGTCATTAGAAGTGCTTCAATGCGCCGAAACCACCAAACCAAAGATAGAACAATTTAGTCATGACTTCATGACCCCCAGAGGGCTAATTTCAGGGATGTGATTATGCCTTTTAGATTCATTGTAGAATCTAGAGCCAGGTTTGAAACACTTTTATGCCATGCTAGGAAGGAACACTGTAGGAGCGTTTGGATGTTGCACCATTCCTTCTGAAAAACCACGAATTTCTTGGAAAACTTTCAGAATATTCTCTTTTGCAATTTTCTGGAAAATTTGCATTTTAATCTGGTGAATCTGCCAATTCCGACGGAAAAAAATATTTCTGATAACTTCTAAAAATAAACTACGTTATCCTGGGAAATTTGGCAACAATCAAATGCTCTTATGGTGTACTCCTTAAGCACAGCGAATTTTCATCTGCCCTGCTACGGAAAAGAGCTTTAAGTGAAAAAGTTATGAATCATTACTATTGAAACAAAGATACATGTGGTGAAAAAGCTTGATTGATTTGGTACATAATTTGAAAGGAAGAGGAAAAACTTGCGACCCACTCAAAAGAGGGCATTCAAAGAACGTTTTCATGAGTCTGTAAATGCATATACTGCTCTATACCGTAGCGGGATAGAACTGAGGAATCCTCAGAAACTGTTTAGAGATGTTAGGCAGCCATTTTGGAGCAGGTTATTTTTGCCTGTGGAAACATTTACCTCAATTATTTACTTCTAAAATGCCTATTGATTTTTACCTACCTTTTTCATTTCTATTTTTTTTCCAAAAAATGTTTTAGAGTTGATTACACTCTTGAATGTAGTTGAAACCATGACAGGGACAAAAGGTGTTGAGAGTATTTGAATTCTCGATGACACCTCAAAAATGTGCTGTTCTTAAAGGTGAAGTAGGGATCTTCACTTCACCTTGTCAACCAAATAGGGAGGGATGGGAGGGAACTTAGATGATTTTTGTGCCAATTTAAACCCTTAATTTATTTATTAATTTTAGAAAGCTATTATTGTTACTTTTTAACTCCTAATTTATTACCTTTTGTAATTTTAAGCTTTGAAAATCAAACCTTGAAGTTTTTTTAACTATTCTGTTCTAATTTAATCCTCCTCATCCCAAAAGGCATGACTATCACTGTGTTCAAATTCAATGACATTACTCAAGAGAGCCTTCATGTCTTGAACATACAATATGGCTTACGTGTGGGGATGCAAGTATTAGCTGCCACATAAGATAATATCTTACAGAAGTGAGGAAATGCCTTGAGTAACCCTGTAAACAAGGATGGCCAAGTTTAAAAACAAAATGATTTCAAAGGGGACAGAAGGAGATTTCTGGTTTAAACAGAGATTAATTTCGATTTTTCCAGAAAATGTTGGTTCCCTGATCAAATTTAGTACTGTCCAGTTTAAAACCTATCATCAGACCAGTGGGCCCATTATTGAAATTTAAACCAGCCCGATAAGACATCGAATTGCGATATATTGCACGGTTAAGATAGGGCTATGTCTTGTTGTAAGCGGCGACATAGAGTCGATAACATTTCAATAATCGCCCCGCTGAAAGGTATGCAGATAAAGATTACTGCAGATTGAGTGAATTTTAAGAGGAGATGGGAGGATTATGAACTACCCATTAAGTATTTAAAATATTTTTATTTGAAACAATAATTTAACAACGAGGAAAAATGTCTCACGTCTTCTTGAGAAAAACAGGTGAAACCAGCATTAAAGTTGACATTTAACTGTCCAATAATTTCAATGACTCGATAATCATTAAAAAGAGTAAAAAAAAAAATCATTTCTCTCTATTTGCAAAACACTGCATCAAACTTTTGATTTTTCTAGTCTCTCACAGCTCTTTACTCATGGTCAATCTTATGGTTGGGTCCTAAAGAGCACTCAATAAGAGATGTACCCTCAAAAATTGAAAATTATTTTATGGCCGGCAAAAATCATAAAAAATGATTCTGAAAATCAGAAATATCTACAACAGAAACAATGAAAGAGAAACAAATTAAAAAGAGATAATTTACATTCAATGAGATGACAACTACGTCCGCAAGTTGACTTGTTGGGTTAAAACCGGTGATTTTATGTAGGCTCGGCGACCTCTAACAGACTTTTTGACTGCTAGATTTAGGAACAGACCGCTATGTATGATAACTATAAATTTTGACCGACAGAAAAACCTGATCATCCACCAATAATACTTGAACTTCTTCAAATTTTGAATTACTGTTTCGCCTGAAAAAAAAAGAACAAGAGGTATTTAAAACAGAGCCAATAATTTTGAAATGCAATTAGTGGAGAAATAAGCTTAGATGCATATGCAAATATTTACAATATTTATTTCGCATCCTTTGACTTCATAAGAGGATACGGAGAATGCACTGATTGAAAACAGAAATCATTTTTTGTACACTGCGATTTTGCAATAAGGGCTTCAATCTTTCTCTAAAAGAAAACTTTACATACTTAACAACTCAAAAAAATGCTAGAAACATTCCAATTTTTGTCAAAATAGATTCATCCCCAGACGATGGGATAATTTTCGAAAAGAAAATGTGGAGCATTGCGATATTTTAAAAATTTTAACTTCCTTGATTTTTTAGTCATTTTCCTAGTATTAAACAGAATCCAAGTTTTTTCACATTCTCTGCATCTTTGCCTTTAAGTTTATGCACGAATTTACCAGTTTCTATTGGTTAATTTGATTCTTGCATCCTAATTCCTGGAAATATTATCCACATCTTTTTTAACACTGAAGACGGTAAACTGACTATCCTGATTTGATAGAATAGACTGTGATAGCTGTAAAAAGGATTGCCTTCACCAGCTGGATTACAAAGGAAAAGTTGATTTATCTAAAGTTTATAAACTTTCAGCAACATGTGGCTTTTGACTCATACTCAAGGCAATGAATCTAAATGATACATGAAAAGCAGAAAGGTAAGTTTAGCTATGGAAACAAATCATAATGAAATAACCAAGAATGGGCACTTACCGGAGGGTCCTTAGCAGTCTCACTGTCATTCTTCATAGGGGAAAATGAAAAATCTGACAAAGTTGGCAGATCAAATCCAGCATAATCACGGGTTACTAAAACAGATAAAAAAGTAATTACTTTGATATCTCTTGTACCTACAGGGAGTAGAATTATGAGAAAAGAGAAAACAATACAAAGGAAACCACATTTTTTGAAAAGTCAAGACAGAGCTACATATCAAGAATATTGGTTCTGCAGTTTCAAGGTGACAAGTATTCCAGGTTGACACAGAATTTAGGAGGTTGAATTACCTGAAAAATTTTACTGAACTTCCCTGACATTGAAGGATATCAACTGTGGGTAACAACAGTTTCAACATTTAGAGCATCTTCAGATTTGAGGAGTTACTTTTCAGCAAAACCAATAGCATCATCGTTCCATCCAATATTTCATAAAAAAGAAGTTGATTAAATTATAAAGTCTTCCACTCCGATATGAACTCAAAAATGGGAATCAGTTTTCTCAAACTTAGCACAATTTTAGTGAAAAATAAAGAAATATAGAGAGAGAGAGACTTACATCCGTTGAGGAATTCATATAAGATAGTCCCTGTTCTCCCAGAATGTTCCTTTCCAGTTTCCCAGTAAAAAGAGGCTTGATCGGGATACACAATAGCTGCTGATCCAGCGGCAAAGGATGCCATGTAAAGCAGCTTCTTGAAGAAACCTTTACGGAATGCGAGCAAGAGTCCAGTGATACCACCAACAGTGATAAAAGCAATCTGCTCTGGGAAATGCTCCTCTTTCCGTAAGTAATCAATGCCCTCTGGAAAATAATATCAAAATATGAGAAATTGAGAAATAAAATAGTTAGGATTATTTGGTATGTATTGGAGGCTCATTTTCTCCTATATTTCTCTGTTAAAGGTACAATAAAGAACTTTCTGTAGTGACTCAACCACATTTTTTACAGTATACACAGTAGAGCTTTTTAAGGCCTAAAAAGTTCTGTCTAATATATTCCTTAAAACAAAGTTCTCCTATAAAAGAACCAAACGCAAGGACACATTACCAGTAACCAGTACCAGAAGTACCAGTATTCTGACAGAACCTTTGAGTTAAAGAAATTTATTTAATTTTAGTAAGTTCATAGCTTAAAGATTTAGTTAAATGTTGTCATAATAGTAATTTGTCAAATTAAAGTTAGAATAAATTCATCCATTTCTGGCATTCAATTTCATCGTAGAGTATGATAAGTATAATATGACTTTTGCCTGAAATTATTGATGTATCGATTTGTTCAACAAAGTTGCTGTATGCCTCTGTTTGTTAAAATATATTCAAAATAATAGAAAATAAAAAGGAGAAATCATTTGAAATTCAAGGCACTTATTTGTTATGTTTTTCATTCATACTTGTCAAATGTGCATGATAAAGCAGAATTTTTCTTCCCTTCAAATTTTCTTTAAATGGAAAGAGAACTGACTGATTGAGGCCTTAGTTCAATTTCATAAGATTTACGGTCTATGACACATTTTTAAGCATGTAGCTTTACCATCAACTTGTTTCCGAACATCTCCAACTGTGCTGTATGCTTCACCAGTTAGTTCAGAGAAACTTTCTTTGAGCTTCCATACTTCACGGCGTGCAATGCCAATGTACTCCAGAACAACTGAGGGCTCTTCATCATTTCTGAAAAGTTCATATTAATCATGAGACTGTGAACATAATTCAAATTCAGAATAGGTGACCAACCTTCGAAAAAATAAGAGAGAGTTAGGTAATCTGGTTCTAACGTGGTCTAAAAGCTGAATTTATTCAGGCTGCTAATTACTCACTCTCACTTTCCTAAAAATTCTTTTTTTCTTTCTTCTTACAGCTGCGCATTTTTATGCAGTGCCTACAAGCTGACAAGGTATTAGGGTGATAATGTAGATAATAACTTCAGGAAATAATAGAAACAAATTTGATCTGAGAGTAAATAAAGAGTAGATCATATGCTTTTACCAAAATCAACAAGAGAAGTGTAAACTACAGCTCGAATGAGTAAGTAGCATAGATTTTTGTCCACCTAATAATTTTGGTTTAAAAATCCAAGAAGTGTGGGTTCCTTCTGTAAAATTGATCCAAAAAAATATGCATATATAAGTAAAACATTCTTACTTCTGTGGTTCACTGCTTTTGACCTCTTTCACTGGGTCATAGAAAGGCAATTCACTCGGTTTAATCAAAGTTTTGCTATCCTTCTTCTCACTTTCAGAGGCAGCAAACACGATTGCTGAACATGTTACTGGGACACTCAGCTTCGACAGTGCAGACGGTGTCATGACAGACCGCCTCAAAATCTGTGAAAAAGAGGGAAAATAAATTATGGGAAATCATATTTAAGAAATTATTACCAAAATGGCAAATATCTGGGGATTTTTAAAAAAATTTGTTTGATTAAACAGTAAAGAAAGTCAAACTGACAAGTTATCAAGTAAATACTTACATTCAAAATTTTTCCATTAGCAGATAGATTTTACAGATTTTTATACTAATGATCACAATTACCTGGCATACGTCCAATCAGTGATAATACTGAGTTAATTTTTGATTTTTCTTTGCTTATTTTACACCAAATCTATGCACTGAACATTAAAACTTTCATTCCTGCGTAATGTCCAGAGGAATCACAGACAAATGTTATGATGATTTGAATTATGCAGTTCAGAAACCTTGCTTCGAGAATGAGCTGATAAAAGTTCTTATCTACCTCCTTCAGGCACTAAATTTTCAAACTATGATACAACTGTACGCCTCACTTTGTCGCAAAAATGAACTGACCCACTCATAATTTATTCTTGATAGCATTATAAGAAAGTTCACAATCAAAATTTCAAAACCAATTTTTCAGCCCAACTCAGAGGAAAGGGGGTTCATCTCAAATTACTAGTCCCCAGGGCAACCACATACAAATATCGGTAAACAGTGGAAGTACTTATACTTATCAAAAGTATGTCCGCTCGAGTACATCTTTCGCTGCGCGTTTTCAACCTAACTTGCACTTGCGGCACATGATTCCTGGTTGTTGCTGAATACCTAGCGTGTGGACGCAAATTAGAGTGCAAATGTAAGGTGAAATTGCACCTGAAAAGAGCTAGGTAGACATACTGTGAAAAGAAAAGTCAAAAGTGATTGTTATGGAACCTCAGCTTGACCTACCTGACAGTACACCTGAAACGCCATGGTCACGTCTCAGTTATGGCTGACCACGACTCTATCAAACCAGAACGAGAAGATTAAAAGTTAATTTATGATAAAAACCGTCATGTATCGAGATAATTATTGAAATAAAACGGGAAAATGCACAGATTTAGACAGGCACATTCAAGCTTCATCGGAAAAGGTTGTCAAGAGGTTATGTCTGATTGTTGTGAAAATAAACAGTTCGGTCATTTTAGAAAACTGAAAAACTCCTATTTCTGCTGCGCAGTAGTGGTTGTTTCCCTTAGCAACACACCTGATCGTCCTATTTCGTCAATCGTGTTTTGTGTTGTGTACTTTTTTAGCCTTTGTGTGAATTTTTTGGAATTTCCTTCATAAATGCTTCTGTTCTAAGTTTCAAGGTCTCCTGGACCCTAATTAGCTAAGATGGTAAGTAATTCACAACTTTGGTGCCCTCAAAATAGTGTTTTATCCCTCTCATGTACGCATTATTTTTGTTTTCATCCAACATAACCTGTCAAAGCTTTCCAAACTCATGATAAGTTTCTAAAATTCTCCCTAATTTTCACTTTCATCTGCCCAGACCATAATTTTCTCCTTGGAAACTTTGAACGGCCCCTTAGTATCACCCATGAACTTATCGCACTGCATCCTTCCCTATCAGTCGCTGTCTAATGTGTCCGTTCTACCCACTTTCTCTTCCCGAAATTGATCAAATGATAATGTACTACAAGAGCACCCTTGTCTGACCCTACGTTTAAATTATTCTATGTTCAGGGGCTGACATTTCTATGCATACAACCTCAGGTTTTCTACAGCCCTGGCTTTTAATTTTGCCTCAATCAACTCCAAATTTACGAACATTTTAGGTACTTCAAGCGCTGGATATTTAAGCGATTTCTCAATTCGAATTAGTTTCAACTTAGCACCTTTTGTCCCAAGTCAAATTTTTGGAATAATAACCTCCATACCTCTGATGGAGCTAGAACATCTACTGCATTGATCTGTCTTGATGCAGCACTTCAATTTTTTTCAAATCCCTGTTACCCTTTCGTTGTCGCAACAATATACTATACCCACGGAAGCACCCTATAATTACTAGACAATTATTTTTAAAACCATCAAGGCCTACAGCTTAACTTGTAGTAATTTATTTTAAATTAAACCCAGTCAAAAGGACATGGGTTTGTCTTGCATGATCTGTAAGTTGATGTGGGATTACTCTCAAATTGTGGCAAGAAAAGTGCCAATGAATTGAAAATTGTGTAATTGGCACCATAGAAAATATAAGCGATTTTAGGAATTTTTTAAATGTCAAACTAAACTGGAACTACGATATCTTTGATTGAATTTGAAAAAAATGGAATCCTGAAACACAGCTAATAGTTTCACAGATCCTCCACAGCGTCGTTCAAATTTTTATGTGATTTCTAACTTCAGTTCTAAAATGAAAAAAATTTTGATCTTGAGACTCTTGACCATAGGTTCCATTGCCTGACATTACACCCATCTCACTGTTCTGTTCGCTCAATAGCAGCTCCATTACTAAAGTATTAGAATTTTTGTACATCATTAAGAAGTTACTCTGCCACAAATTGATCAGAATGATAAGTATGCAATTATAAATACTCAGAATTTTTTCACTTTCTGATTTTTCTCATATATTTTGTTGTCTTTTATGTGCAGTACAAACTCAAATCTGCTCAGCGAGAAAAAGTCCGGAAGTTCATCGCATTTACTCAAACTGGCGAATCTACAGCGATAAATTGTTTAGCACAAAATGATTGGAAGCTAGAACTAGCCTCCGATAATTACTTTCAAAACCCAGAAGCCTACTACAAGGAGCCTAAGAATAGTGTTGATAGGCGGAAACTGGAAGTCTTATTCAATAAATATAGAGGTAAGTAAGTCTTAAACCTTCAGAATCATTAACTTTTCTCTGTAATTTAACAGAGTGACATGTTCTCTAGAAATCATGAAAAACATGGGAAAATAAGGAAATTATGTTGAATCATTAAAAATCAAGAAACTTTGCCAAGAAGTGAGTCTCAAATATTACTCTGCAATTGAGGGAATCAGAGGGCAAGGCACATGAGTGCAGTTTTTGCTATTTCGGGAAATACGTGTTGGAAGTTTCGAAATTAGGCACATGGATCCTTATGGCGGAAAAAAGTTCAGACTGACTTCTTGATGCTTAAAAATTTTAATTTGGATGTGAATTTTTCACAGAATACGCATTAAAACTACTATCACTTGAAGTCATTAATATCTCATTTTTTTCAAAAACTGCACTTATGCGCATCATCCTTCAAGCCCTCCCCCCCCCCTCATTTGTGATTTGTTGGAAACAAAATTTTACTACTTGTATAATCCTGAGGAAATTGAATGTATCTGAAAAGATGCTTGAGCCACAGGCCATCTCCAGATCCATAAGTTCTATAATTTTTGTTTCAAACCATATTTATATTTGAGTCAAAAGTATCTGCTGTAGCTTGCAAAAACCGTATTTTAAAGTTCTTTATTTACGTGTTTCATTCATTTTCAGATCCCAACGAAACTGATAAAATGACAGCTGAAGGTATAATGAAGTTTCTAGACGATCTCAGTTTAAGTCCTGAATCAAAGTTAGTATTGATAATAGCTTGGAAATTCAAAGCTGCCGCTCAGTGTGAGTTTTCACGGGAAGAGTTCATGAGAGGAATGTCTGAATTAGGGTAAGCTTTATCCTTATTTTATTCATCAGGTAAAAGTAGCGACCCAACCACTTATTTTTCTTCCAATAAAAAGTTCAATTGGAATAAGTTGAGGCATTTTATCCTTCATAATATTTTAACCGCTACTTTCGCCTGCTAATCACCTAAAATAAGTATAACACCACTACAAATGATCACTGTAAGGACTTACAGATCCAATGAAATTGAGAGTTTTTGATTTTTAATATCAGTATGATTTTTTTTCTTCTAAATTATCACTAGTCTTTATTATTCTTTTCTTGTTTTAGCTGACTTTTGACTAATTTTCAACTTTTTCATTTGTAAAATTTCCTCAGGAGCGACAGCATCGACAAATTGAAAGCGAGGTTGCCCTCATTAGATAGTGAGATCAAGGACCAGCTGAGGTTCAAAGACTTTTATTACTTCACCTTTAACTATGCAAAAAATCCAGGGCAGAAATGTCTAGATTTAGAGATGGCAATCACGTACTGGAATATCGTTCTCCAAGGTCGTTTTAAATTCCTAGATTTATGGTGCAGATTCTTAACGGTACGTTCCAGTAAAACTCACTTTTTTTTCAAATTTTTCAATCAAATTTACAATTGACAGTGACTCCCTAGGTATATCCATGTAGCTTAATAGCACTCCCTGGGGCTCAATGATATTCAACTACCATTTCCCACCATTGAACCACAATTTTTCCTGCTTCAATCTCATGACAATTGGTTTCCTAATCTTGGTTCGAATTTTCGTATGCCCGACATCACTTTTCGACTCAAAACTATTTTTCTGGACTTACATAAATGGAAATTAGTCAGATCCGAATTCTTATACAATACAAGTATTTCAGCTGCATTTGTACTTTTCAATATGAAATGGAATTCGAGAAAAAGATCTTTCTTGACTATATGTCCAATTAAACCGAATATAACGCCACCTGATAATACAATATGACACCAGTCGAATCAGTACTTTTAAAAGGAATAGAAGGCCAATTTTTCAAATTCGTTTTTTTTTTGCATTTTTAGTGCTCTTCTTACAAGAGAAAATTTTTGCGGATTCTTTTGAAAATTTTAAGGGATTTGCTTTGTACTATGCAGAAAATTCACTGAAATTTGCACAAAATTCTGCCCGACCGTTTTTATCTAAAAAAATTAAATTGCCCAATTAAATCTGGCAATAACTGATGTGGCTTGATTCCTATCTGCTTGATGCGGTCCATTTGTATGTCATCATTTTCTTTCATTTCTGGTCTATCAAGTTTTTTCATTAAATATTTTTTTTTTCTACTAATTGAAAGTGACTGCGTGGTTAGTGAAATAATTTTGGATTGTTAGTTTGTTTTTGCTTTTTTTAAGCCTTTTTTTCTTGGCATTTGACATGTTTAATTACGATATACCCATCATACTAAATTTTATAGATACTAACTAACTTGAGGTATAATTGATATCATTTTCTCATTGTGCCAATCATTTCTGATTTTTTCGTGTCTTGTTTTAGGAACACCACAAAAGATCAATACCTAAAGATACTTGGAATTTATTGTTAGACTTTTCTTTAGCTATTAACGATGAAATGTCAAATTACGATGAAGAGGGTGCATGGCCGGTTCTAATCGACGATTTTGTCGAATGGGCTCAACCACTTGTTAGCAATCATTCTCAAGTACACAGCACGCAAGTATAATGATGCGCACTTTTTTAGGTAAATTTCTACTTTTTTGTTCATCCTTAAAAACAGGTACCTCTAAGCAGAGTAACAAACTTTGAAAGAGATCAACTTTTATCAGGGTTGAAAATGACACTGAAAAAAATGGTATGTATGCTGTTTTAGCACCTACGATGTCAAAAATGTGTCTGATGGTCCTAAGATGCTGGCTTGATTGCCCACGCAGTTAGTTGACTTTGCATTCGCAGGATGTAAAGTTAGCTGCAGGGACAGAAAAGGCAGCATCTTGGGAACACCAGACACATTTTTGACATCCCAGGTGCTAAAACAACATATTATTTTTTTCAGTGGAGGATGTGAACTTTCAGCAGGATTTTTCTGGGAATCCCTTCTTCGCCCAAAATTAAATTACAGAGTACCTTTATAGGAAGAGTACAGACAATTTTGGACAATCGATTTAAGTAGCTCTTAGGGCCAAAAAAGATGACAACGTATAAAACAAAAATCAGTAGATAATTGCCGCTGCCAAAGATTGTCCGCTTGCGTATGGATTTGAAAGGTTCAATAAGGCCAACAGCGCATTGTAAACAAGCGTCTTGAAGGATCAAGACTTTGAAACAGGAAATTTATTTGAAATCAAAGTTTTATACGTGCTTTTATAATGTTTGATCAGTTATGAAATGATGGGTAATAAGAATTATGAAAATAATTCCCACCGGATAATTCAAATTCATATGTTGGCAGCCTTTTTGGGTCCCAAGAGCTACATGACCTGATCAAACCTAACCTCGAAATTTTCAAGCTGTCCATTCTCTCCCAATAAAGGTACTCTAGAATAACCCAGGAAATCTAGTAAACTCTCTCGATAATGCTGTCACTAAGTTGTGTTTTAACCTTACAGAGATTTGGAAGGAGGTGGCAGTTTCTGATTCGTCTTCAGTAACATTGAGTGTAACATGTAGTGTCCGTTTCTGGAGGGACCAAAATTCAGAACACAGAAAACGAACTGTAATGTCTGTTATTTTGGCATACTTTAACACAAAATATATTTTAAAATACTTTTTGAAGTATGAATCTTCAGTAACCACACTGTTCTTGAGGAAATTGATGACAAAAATGTCTTTTCCACCTACATTGTCAACCTTTCTCCAAAATCCCGGTATTGCAAATACTTCCTTTTTTTCCTCCCTTTTAATCCATCAATTTTGTGCCTCAAACGTGGCTCACGGGTAGCTCTACCTCAAAATTACTTTGCAATTTTATTGCTTAGCAATTTTTTGTGAGACTTCCCTTTAAGCTGTATCACAAATATTTGAATTTGAAATTTTTTCAGTGCTGAGGCTCACTTTCCCAATTTTGTTATGTTTTTTATCTGACCATGAAAAGATGAAAAGATACTAAGACAACAGTTAACCATAGAGTAAAGAGTACTCTTGACTCACTTTTATTTATGACTTCTCAACAATTATTCTGGTACAGTTTATTGTAATTTTATTTTTGACTTCATATAAATTTTGCTGTAACCCTTCAGTATTCATTGTTTTTTCGCCCATAAGGGAGAAAATTCCAAAAATATTTTCTTCTTTTTCAAGCATCCCATTTCTTTTAATTCATCAACAAGCAAAGCCTATATGATTCGATTATCTTTTCCGTTCTAGCAGTACTTTTTTTTCTTGTGTTTTTGTGAAAAGAATAAATGAAAATATTTGGAAAGTAAAAAAAAATTATCTTTGTTTCAGTGTTGTTGAAGGAGAAGTGGAAGTTACCATTGGTCTCAATCTTGTGGTCGTCATACGGCACATGACAAAACAAAACGCAATATCAGGAACAGCAAATTCTTATTTTTGGAATTGAATTTATAAAATTTCTTCCAAGCAAACCAGCATATCTAAAAAGTCATGGAAATTGAAACTATTAGACTTGCAAGTGTGGAGACCGTTGTCATTTGTTATAATAGTCTCCCATTCCCTCTCCCGCCCCCCTTCCTTGGAATACAACTATTATTGTTGTTGATTCTGTTTTTACCGAATCAATCGTGTGGAAAGAACCTCACTCTAAAAATGACGGTATAGAGGATGTTATTTCTCTGTATTTCATATTTCAGGCAAAACCAGCTCTCAAATTTCGAAATAGTTGTATTGTTAGGGGTTAGTAACTTGAGTGCAACTTGTTCAGGATCGTTTGTTAAAATTTTTTGAGGAAAAAGAGACCACACATAATGTTAATGATACTCATCACAAATATAAGGCTGTAAAGAAATGGAAACATCATAATGTTTGCTGCAGCTAGGATGCCAGCGAAAACTCTCATCTTTGCCTTTGTTCCAAGTTGTTAACAAGAAGACACTCTGGTGGCAGGTTCCAATTTTTCTTTCAAAGGACTAGGATCACGCACAGAATACCAAGGAATTTGGGGCTTTTTTGATGTGATGTTCCTTATGACCCTCCGAAGCCGATAAGTTTTAAGATCTAACTTTCTTTGTGTCAATATTGAAAAAACAGGACTGAAAAGTGAATTTTTTGGCCTTCTTGCTTGTGCTCTCCTGTGGATAATTGGAGCTGCTGCCATGTCTGTGTGGGCACTACTTGTTATCATTTGGAGAGATTTTATTTTTCTTGTCCTTCTTATCTTCTTAGTCTGCAAGGGAACAGAAATTCGATCACCAATTAGATGTTGTAACATTCATACTGGCTCGGCTCGGATCAACCGTCCTGAAGTTACAGCCTCTTAAAGGTGCTACATCTGTCAATTTACCCGAACTTTGGAAGCTCAATAAAAGTTGAACGGGGCATCAAAAAAATTAAAATTTACGTTTTTCAACTCAGCTCAGTGAACAGAAAGAGTTTGCCAAATTTCATGCAATTCTGAGGGGGTCAGGTCAAAAAGTGCCAATTATTGGTCTGATTTGACATGGAATGACCCACCAGATATTGATTGTAGAAATGCCTAAAAATACACTTTTCAGCCCTGCTTTTTACAAGATTGGCAGGTAGGAACTTTGATTTTGAAAGCTCTGAAGGTTGTAAGGAACATCGTATCAAATAATATAAAAATGTTGCCTGCCCAGAATTTCTCGGTGTTCTGTGTGTAGTCCTCTAGGAAATATTCTCTCAGTGAAGAAGAGCTCACCACAATTGAACCTGTTTCCATCTCCAGGCCTCGGAGGAGCAATGTAAGCTTTCATAATTTTTAAAGGACTGAAAAGCACCAAATTTAAGTGGAATTGGATGCTGACACGAGACTCTGTCTTCTTGTAAGAACCAAATAGATTTTATTAGAATGTAATTTTTCAAACAGTTGAGGAGTGAAAGACTCAGCAGGCACAATTATAATTACTAAGAATTCTTTGGACATGTATTCTATCTTTGCCTGCCTTCATTATTTGAGTGAAAAAAAATCAATTATTGCCCTCTTCTCAACTATTTGCTCAATACTTTTCGGAAAATTATGTAAGGGAGTGTTCTGCTTCACTTTAATGGAAAGGACTCAAGTTTTTTCTCTCTTGGCATCCTCTTTAAACTTTTCTTTTGTCGTAAATTAATTAAAAAGTTGGAGGTATGTAAGTAAAAAAATGGAGACAAAATATGTAGGACTCGGTAAAATTTTCAGTAGCCTTGATCATCAAAATGACAATTACTGTCAAATGTAGTTGAACAGTATTTAGTGTCTCTTCTCAAGAAAAAACTAATTAAGTAAGAAAGAGTGCTGGTATTTTTATCTTCGATGACCAGCAATAAGTGTTCTTCACAAATACTTACCAATCAATGTCAAAACTCAAAATTGCTTCCAATATGTCATAAGTGGTCTTGTCCATGGGTTAAATCGTCGCTAGATCCTTCCAAATATGTATTTCTTAAACGAAGGAAGTGGATTTGAGGCTTCTTTTGCACAGACTAAATGACCCTGAACCATGGCTGAATATTTCAAGTTTTACCAGTTCAGTAGAACAAGTTTGAAGACGAATGCTTTTAAAACAAATTTAAGCTGTAACCTGTCAAACTTTGTATTCTGTAATCAATTAACTACAAACAACATCACTTAAGTTAACAAATTTTGATAGAAGAGGTCTGGTTTCAGTTCAGGTAAATTAGATCAACCAAAGTTTACAGGGAGTTAACCTGCGTAAATGAAGCGCTAAATATTCAAAATGTATCATTTTCCATCGAAAACTTAAGCTTGTAGTTAGAATTACCCTTGTTTATCTTTCAACTCCTCAACTATTTGTATTTCATAATGATCGATCAGTTCGTGTTTCTTTCTTTGTATATCAAAGCAGCAAACCTCCGTGTTTGGTTTCACCGTTATTTTTTTCCTTTTTACTATTTTTGTTTCTTTTATTACTTTTCATTTAATAGGATACATCCATTTCTAGACGTACTCATCTGTTTTTCCTCATGTTTTCAGCAATAATGAATTTTTCCTCCCTCTCTTCAGTTTGTACTATTTTCGATACTGTTCTGTCCCGTTTGACTCATGAACATGTATTTTTACTTAAGTACACACAGAGAGGAATCTTTCGGTGGACACACCAAACTCTGTGAGCCGTTGCTCCTCAAAGACCTCAGCACTCATTAGGGAAGATTTCAGTTGTTTCACTAGAGCTTTAGTATTTTTCCCTTTACAGCCAAATTTGGATTATGTTGCCAACTAAGCTGCGACGTTTTCACCCGAGCCTTTTGGTAATGAAGATTGAAGACTTTGATAAGCCATAGCTTACTAAGTTTGGAGGGTTTACTGAAAGATTTCTCTCTGTGTACTGTGAAATATAACATCCACCAGAAAGCAAAGTTTCCCCAGTTACTTTTGGATTCAGGGCAGCTCTCAATCATCCTTTTCGATTTTATTTTGTGTTGTAGAAGTTTTATGTAAGGAAACTATATGTATGTTGATGTTGACTTGTAAATAGTATTCCCTTTTCCATGGAAAAAATTGTACATTAAAGTTATTTCGATTGTAAACTGCTCTCTTTTAATTTATCCTTTATATGATTTGACTGCTGCACAGACAATGAGTATATTTTATTTATCGACAGTGTAAGTTGGCAATTACATAACTCGGTTTGCGACGTCGCAGACTTCCTGTCATACTTTATTTTTTAAACGGAAACTACTCAATGGCAGTTCTTAAAAACTGCCGTATTTTTTCTTCTCTGTGGGAAGAAAATTCTGCATTAACTTCAAGGAACGTTGTAAATTTGTTCTCCTTTCAAAAATAACATAGAGGCGAAAATTCTCAGACACCGCAAACGAGTTATGTGATCGCCAACTTACACCGTCGTTATGCAATATGTCGAAATAGAATAATGGTTCTCTTTTCCTGAATGTGACTGCTCAGGATTTTCCCAAGCAAATTTATCATCTATCTGATACCTTACCTACAAACAAGTTTACTATACATTGCAGTCATCATACTAAGCTCAGTTTTACCTCCAACTTTTAAAGCACAATACTGTACTTTTCTATTTCAAATGAGCCATAAGTTTATCGCTTCATCTCTTTTCCCATCATTTGATTCAAAATCCTCCAAAATTTTCTCCACACTATTCTATTTGACTATTTCTAGTTTATCAGCTCTCTACTTCATTGTACAAATAGTGCTTCCTGTAGTATATGTCTGGGTGTAATGAAATAAGATAAGTCTTTTTTTTGTAGACCCTCTTTCAACGTGTTCATAATCCGTAATTAAAAAGGAAAAATACAGGGAGCAAAATTGAATGAGGAATTGGGTTTTTTTGTGTTTTAGGACTTTATTTTCTCAACTTAATTTAATACATAAATAAGTTTACTATTAATTAAAAACAGTCATGATCAAAGTTTAGTCGCTATTTGGAAGACAACATCTCCCGAAAGCAATTTTGATCTTAGTCCTCACAGCAACTCAAATTGCTGCACTAGTGAGTTGATCCCAAATTCTGAGACCAAATCACTGGGTGGCCCCCACAGCCTTCGAGCACACGCGTATGGTGGGAACAAGGAAACTTCAGCTGTGCCTAGGCTGTCAGGGAAATTACGTCTAGGAAATTGCACCTCAGGTCTTAGATGACCATGACGTCACGAGGCACATTGGACAGGAGTTGGTTGACGATTCCTTTGAAGACGTTGCTGAGTTTCCCTCTTAGTTGCGGCATCATGGCTTGTAGCACCTCCTGACCATTAGCCTCTAGGAACAAGTTAGTAGCTTCAACTGAAAAGAAACAATTTCAACTCAAATTATTCACATTTCCCAGTTTTGAGGAATGGGCAACTATAGCATACCCGAGGGTAAATTTTTGTCTTTGAACGTGGAGGGGGGGTGTCGGTATCTAACACTGTGCGGAGAGTAGCTGAAAATTTAATGCCAAGGAATTAACATCCTCTCAACTAGATCTTGCCAATATTCGCAAGATGGAATGTCAGAAAAATCTCGATTAACTCAATAAAATTTTCCCTCGTCGACCTGAAGGCGGGAAGAATTAAAATTTTATTAAATTCACAACTTTTCACGAGTTAGAGTTAAAACGCTACGTTTATGAATGGACAATTCATTGCAGGAGAGGTCTCACAACGCTCATTCCAAAACACGGATAAATGCTGCATTAATTTTCATTCCCGCGCATATTTCCCGCCGTACAGCTCGCTAAGTGCAATGGCCAATCAGCGTTGAGCACGGTTAGCGGGAAGTCAATGAATCAAATGCCCGCGAAATTCAAAAAGACGCGTGGTCCATCGGACGAGCGTCAATCCTTATCCGCTCCAGATTCACCACCCGCCCTCGTGCAGAATCTCAGCCTGCGATGGAAAATCAATAAATTGGCCCTAACTAGCTAGGTTGGTTAGCTTTTTCTGCGGCATTTTGTATTATCTCATATTTTTGGCATTTAAATACACATACAGGGTTATCCAAAAGTCACTGACCACCCCTGTAACTTTTTTCCAAATTGAGATAGAAGTTTGAAACTTTGGGAATGTTCCTCGGTCTAAGGTAGCAAATTTTTGGTCCCCCCAAAATTTTGGGGGACAGCCCCCCTTAAGGGGGCGGGGGCTAACTTTTTTTTTTTGAAATAGCAACCCCCCCTTTGTGATACTTCATTCGAAAGATAATAAAAAAAGAAAATTTTTGGCGCAAACCGCAGGTCAAAATGTTCATTTTTGACAAAATGGCGGCCGGTCAAAGTTCAAAATGGCGGAAATTTGGCATCTCCGTTGTTTATCGACGGATTGGTGTGAAACTCGGAATCCTAGGATTTTTCGAGATGAGAAAAACGATTCTGGCATTGGTTTTCCAGAAAAGTCAGTCCTTTTCAAAATGGAGGCCTCGAGCGGGAAGTGGATATTTAGGCTGCATATCGTTGAATTTGCATGAAACTTGGTATCGGGGGGTATTTCGGCACGAGAAGAACGAATCTTTCATTGGATATCTGAAATTTTGACAAATTTCAAAATGGCGACGGAAAAATGGCGGGAAATTAGTTTTACGGCTGTTTACCGATAGATTAGCATGAAATTATTAGATATTTCAAGAATCTAATGAAAGATTCCTTTTTAACCAGCCAAAAACCGCCAGGATATCGCATTTCATGCAAATCCATCGGCGAACAGCCGTAAAACTGATTTCCCGCCATTTTTCCGCCGCCATTTTGAAATTTGTCAAAATTTCAGATATCCAATGAAAGATTCGTTCTTCTCGTGCCGAAATACCCCCCGATACCAAGTTTCATGCAAATCCAACGATATGCAGCCTAAATATCCACTTCCCGCTCGAGGCCTCCATTTTGAAAAGGACTGACTTTTCTGGAAAACCAATGCCAGAATCGTTTTTCTCATCTCGAAAAATCCTAGGATTCCGAGTTTCACACCAATCCGTCGATAAACAACGGAGATGCCAAATTTCCGCCATTTTGAACTTTGACCGGCCGCCATTTTGTCAAAAATGAACATTTTGACCTGCGGTTTGCGCCAAAAATTTGCTACCTTAGACCGAGGAACATTCCCAAAGTTTCAAACTTCTATCTCAATTTGGAAAAAAGTTACAGGGGTGGTCAGTGACTTTTTGATAACCCTGTATATTCATCAGCCTCTGTTTGTTTCTTCAACAACTATAGATGAATAGGGTAAATTGAATAATACAATAATAAGGCATCTAAAGAGACTCCACTGAAAGTTTCTTTTTGAGGAACTATTCTATCGATGCGGTAGTGAAATTGCATATTCGCTAAATTGAAGGGTTATTAGAAGCCTCTATTTTACTGGTGTAGAATGTGGAAATCGTAGTCCGCGCACAATAGAATCACATATCGATGGCCATGGCCAAAGTGTGAAACCACGTATCTTCGTTGGCGGCGTTGCAATCTTTCCGCCATACTTTATTTTTCCTGTGGAAACCCATTCATCGTGATTTCTCTGAAACTTCTTTGATTTTTCTTCTCTGTTGGCAGAATATTCTGTACACATTTTAACCTATAAAGTTGGCTTTTTTTTCTTCGGAATGATAGAAATATAAGTTGAAATTTTAGAATACCGCACTGGAGATACGTGGTTTGGCACTTTGGCCATCGACATACACAGCGGAACATTACTAAAATCAGCCGCTAGGACACCGAAGGTGTTCGCTTTATACTAGTGTAAGCGATTCACCGCTCGCTCATAATGGAGAGATTTTTTCCCGCACAAAATAAACTGTGAAAAAATACACTTTCAGACATTTGAAATGTCTTTAAACAGCTTATTTTAACTGTTATTATATGATTTAACCGTTATTATATGAAACGGAGAGAGTAAACTTACCTAAAATTTTGTTATTGTTGAAAACTTTACTAACAGACATGCGAGCCTTTTTGATATTGAGATCTAGGTCTAATTTGTCGAGGTGGAAGTAGTCCCTCTTCGTCCTCTCTTCTTTCACCGTCGACATGTATCCTTTCACCGTCGCCAAGATATCACCTGCACACAGACAATTAAACATGTACATGTATTCATTGAGCATGTACTAGCCAAAAAATGTATGTATAGGTACAACAAAAGCACAGTTTAAAATATTTTTCATTTATTCCTTCACTCTACACAAAATAATCGCACGCCTTTTTGGAAGCGAGACACTTGGCTCCTTAATTGGATTGTATTTTGCAAAAAGGAACCACAAGCATTCCAATGTCGCTAAGATTGTGCAACCTTTTTTCACCTTGCAAATAGAAATTGCTCATCTAAAAAAGTTTTATCTTTTTATCCTATAAATTATGAATTCAAGACGAAAATCACCTTTGTAAATTTAATATTTTTCATGATTTCTGTAATTTTTTGCAAAGAGTTCAAGTCATTCAATCCTAGCAACACTGGAATGTTCTTGGTTCCTTTTTGCAAAATGCAATCCAATCATTGTATTTACTTTCAATATCAAAGTAGAAAAAAAAAAAAAAAACGGTGGCCAGACATTTTACCCAACGTTGCTTGATCCAAATATTTCATTGTCCATTTATAAAGTTAGTCAACTTGTTTTTTTTTTTTTTGTTTTTTTTGTTTTTTTTTGGTGCAATGCTCTATGAACCAATAGTTTACTTATTCCAGTCATAAGCAATGAGGTGCTAAGATTTTGCCCAATAATGGAATGTAACCCTTAGATGCCCAAGCCGCGTCACCCAAGGATCGCTGAAAGCACGTACTCCGCAGGTTCTATGAGGCTGGTACATCCAAACTGAGATGTAGAAAGGTCTACTCTACAAATACGTCTTAAGAAAAGAACAAGACATCAAATTGAAAATTACAAAATCAAATATCAACACAACCAAAGATAGGAGAGACGGTTTTGGGCCTGGTTTTTATAACTTTTCTCCCGAATCAAAGCGACAATTCATTGGCAGCAAAAAACGGAGCATCGCGAGTTCACACTTCGTGCCATACCGCCTTCAATTTTGCAGATGCAACACGGACACCCATCAGGCACGAATATTTGTATCCCTGCGCCTTCATCAACGCGCGACCTTTCCCTTGCTCTGTTCTCATGTTGTGTTGGTACCGCCTGTCTTATTTGTAGTTGTGCTTCAAGGGCTGCGTTAGCAAAACAGCCGGAGATAGGAGCGATGTAATCGGGCCTTGTTTTTTACCTTTTCTCCCGAATCGCGTGATATCTCGTCGGCGGCATAGAGCGGAACATTGCGAGTTCACGCATCGCGCCTTCAATTTTGCAGAAGCGACCCGGACATCCATTAAGCACGAATAGTTGTATCTCTGCGCCGTCATCAAAGCGAGTCCTTTCTCTTACTATATTTCCTGTTTTTTCGGTTCCGCTTATCTTATTTATAGCGGTGCTTAAGGGCTACGTGAGCAACGCAGCCAAAGGATGACTTGGATTATATTCGTTGACCAAACTGGACATGTGAAAAAAATTGGGTCAAGTGTCTAGCTACCAAAAAAACAGATCTTTCGTTCCGTAACACAAGTAATTAGCTTGGGCATTAACCAAATTATTGACGGAGCAACTATTCATGCTCTACGGAGGTGGGATTGCATAACCGGGAAATTGAAGATGATCCATTTTTTCAAAACTGCGTTGACCTACTTAAGTAAATCATGGTTAAAAAATTCAATAGCGCAACACTCAACCCCAAAATCTCAGCCTTGTTTTAAGTATCACAATGTTGTCAAATGTGTCGAAAATTTTACAAACGATGAAAATAATTGAAACTTTGCCAATTTCCAGCAAAGATGCAAATATTTATGATACAATTGAGACGCTCTCGGTTTTTTTCAATATTGCAAGAATGTTTACAATGATCATGAAGTTGCCAATTTTCCTGAAAAATTCAACGATTTCTAAGATTACAACGACGTCGTGGGACCTTGCCTTCCGAGGGTAGAAAAATATGTAAGTGAGTATCTTATAGAAGTTCTATACGAGATTTCTCATATCAGGCCGGAACCCGAGACTTTTTGGCCAAAGTTTAGGGTGCAATCGGCTTTTAACTCTCTAGGCTAGTTCTAAAAGCTATTCGGGAGGGCTAGGATAATCTTGAAGATCGTTGAATTTTCCAAGAAAAGTGTCAACGTCATAATCATAGTAAACATAAGACTTGAAAGTTTAAGAGCATCGAAATTTCATCATAATTGCATCATTCTTTGTAGAAATTGGCAACGTTGCGATAATATTTACTTTTATTATTAAAATCATCGGTAACAACGATCAATTGTCATTTGACAACGTTCTGACACTTAAAACTTGGCTGAGGTTTTCTGTGTTGAATAGTGCGTTGCGGAGTATTTTAAACGACTATTTTATAAAGTGTCGGATCTCCTTCAATTTCCTGTTTATGCAATCCCACCTGCTCATAGTGCTAAACAAAGATATTCATAGAAAATTTGATTAGAATCCAATTACGTTTATGCACTTTTAGAATGCAACGAACGACTTGTCGTTTTCACTTTAGTATTAAAAGAAAATTTAAAAATGAGCTTGTTAACCTCTTTCTAAGTCTTGCATTTTCAGAAACTACATTGGCTCCTGATCACGCAGTAATTTTTTAGATTTTTCCGAGCCGTTTTTCCCTCCGAAAACGACTTTAAAAGTTAGACAGCTTCTTGCAGAAGCCGGGGGGTAATTTTGACGCCGCGCCTTACTGGATTGCCGCTAAAGCGCGGGCAAACGCGGTGTTTTAAAATTTCGAACTTCAAAAGTCGTTTTCGAAGGGGAAAACGGCTCGGAAAAATCTGAAAAAATTACTGCGCGATCAGGAGACAATGTAGTGTCTGAACATGCAAGAATTAGAAACAGGTTAACAAGCTCAATGGACTTCATTTTGCAATGAGGAACTACAAGTTGTGGTTGATCCGTTAAAACCCTCATGTACATAGGATAATTGGACTGCATTTTGCAATTTGGAACTATAGATTCCGGCCCAGTTTAAAAACAACGTATGTGCCATTAGTTTCCCTATACACATAAGTGTTTTTTTCAAATGAGCCAGAATTTATAGGTCCAAATTGCAAAATGCAGTCCAATTAATGGTACATGTGTTGTTTTTAAACTGAGAATGAAATCGTAGTTTCTTACTACAAAATGTAACCAAACTAACGATCGCCTGCCTAACTCCGCAAAAAGTTCGTAAAATTATTTCGCGTAGGCTCAAGTTTTCCCCTTCTTGCCCTCTGAAAACGTGCGGAAAAGCACAAAGCTCGAGTTCAGGTCCATCTCGGAGATGCTTAGGACGAATACGCGATGTTACTATGTCACGGCCACTCCCTCCCCCCCCCCCCCCCCCCCCNCGCAATCGGTGGCGTCCGATGACGTCGATGACGCAGTTAGATTTCTGGTCATTTCCTCGAACACTTTCAACTCGCTCCACACCAAAATTCAACCTTGGCGCGTCGCGTGGCGTGGATAATGAACTCACCGCTTCCTTCACGCCCTCTTCATCTCTTCCGAGTGGTAAAATCCAAGATTAGGCTCGGAAAAAGGTAGAGCTCTGACTTTCCGAGGAAAACGTCGTATGGAGAGATATTCGAGCGTAGCTGGATTAGCCCAAATGAAATATTTATTTTTGAAGAAAATCATGAATATATTTCCTTGGAATTTTCAAATGGGCTAGGATTAATTAAACTAAATTTTGCAATGAAGGACCTAAAAATTCTCACTCATCCATAAAATCACCTGACTGCATAGGAAAACTAGTGGCACATACGTCGTTTTTGTAATGCGCCAATGCAGTCCGATTGCGTATAAGATTCCCTGAAAAAATTGATTGACAAAATTCGTAAACATGTAATTTTGGAACTTTATTAGAGATGGACATCCAGATTACTGTCTCCGGTGTTACCATAGTTGCAGAATTTCATGAAAGTTTGTAAAATAATATTTCATGGTGAAAGTGCGTGATTTTCCATGAAATTCATTTACAATTTTTGCAAGGATGTCGTATACCATGAAACGCATACAGTAACAGTAAAACCTTAATTTTGAAATTTTGAGGAAATAAAATATTGTGAGTGAAATTTGATTTTTTCAACGACTTATTGGATAATTGTCGCGAACTGCGCACGCAACCCTTAAAAATCGTTGAAACTTCACTGAAAATGCACTTTTCAGCGAAATGATTGTGGGGGTAGCAATAAGAGCCAAAATCCGTGGCCTACTCCCAAAATCCCGAGATTTTCCAATAATTTGCAGTCATTAACGTATATATTTCATAGATTCATTGGTCTCTTGGCGACATTTACAGACTTCAGCTTCGAAGCGGAAGAAGAAACTTGTTTGCGAAGGCAAAAACCCACGAAAAATTTGCGTTTTCTCTGTGTTTTGGGATAGACTTGACTTCGAGGATTGTTCTATGAAAATGTTCCACCTAAACGTCAAAAGTATCTCTCCAAAAGGGGGAAATAACCCAAAGAAAGGACGAGCGTTGATGTAGGTTAAAAGAAACTACAAATCTTACTCTGACGCCTACACATTTTGCGATTTCGACAACGTTGTAATAAATTTAAAAAATCAATAAGTTTTTAGAAAAAGTGACAATGTCGTTACAGAAATCAGTAATAGTCTACCTCATTGACACAATATTTGACGCTAAAATGAAGTTTAGGCATAAGAGAAACAAGGACATCACTCTTATTTTGTATCGCGCGTGACGAACACTAGACGAATTTCATTAAAACGCTCGGATGCAACTATTCGGGCTCCATGAACGTCCGTGGTTGCACACAGGAATGTAGGCGTTCTAGCTCTCTCTGGACTAGCTGCTTTGCCCTGAAAGGCAAGGTAGAAGAAACCAAGGGTGTCACTACCGCGGTGGATGACGTTATTGAACGAATATTTCAAAGCGCGATATCTTGGTTAATACTGGACGTAGAGAGTTGCTGTTTGAACAGCTCTTATTATTTTTAGCTGATCTACAAGGAACAAGCATCAAAAAACGTTTCTGTGACCAGCGCAAGTGACCCATTACGGGGCGGAATTTACTCTTTTTGTGGAGTGTCATATACGCTTATATGGTGCTAATTTCACTCACATTACTCGGGGTTTTTCCGGCAGCGAATTTCACTCCTCGATTTTAACGGTGCATCGACTGAAATATATAGGAAAATCTCGGGATTCCGGGAGTCTGCCGATTTTGGGCCTTATCGCAACCTATCCCTCCTTTCATCCCTCCTTTCATCCCTCCTTAGCCCAGGTCTACCTTCAGGTTCGTCTTTCAGGTTTCGTCAGGTCGCCTTAGTCTAGGTATGACACACAGAGACGCGAGACCCTCCACTCGTATCTCGGCTATGGTGGAAGCTTTTACTTTCGGGACTTCAACATTAAACTGTTAACTTACCTACACGGTTGATTTTCAAGAACGAGTTGGCAGTTTCGTTCTGCAAACAAGCCGAAGTTTGGGAAACAAGAGTACCTGTATGGGAAACTTGTTTGGTTCAAGACGTCACCCGAAGCTCATCATCCACCATGTGGGTACGTCAACAGCATTGACTTATAACGCAATCTAGACCGCGCACCAGGCCCGACTTTGGGCGGGGGAGGCAAGACAGCTAGCGGGGTAAATCAGGGTAAAGACGCGCCTTCAGCTTGGTTGATACAGCCGGATATACGAATAGCGTACCAGGCAACATCACGCTCAGGCAAGACTGGCAATGCTGGCATTTCCATTGTCTCGGTACAAATTGCAATCCGGGTTGCCTATCGTCTTGCCTGAAGGGACTCTAGTCTCGCCGAAATGTCCTAATGCGGTATAGATTGTATTATACGTCAATGGTCAACAGCCGAAAAAAGAGTGATGACTGTTGCTCCCTTATAATTGTCCATAAGGAAGTGTTGAATTGCCGGGAGTAAAAGCTTCCACCTGTCACCAAGAGGCCAGTGGAGGGTCTCTTGTCTCTGGACACTTCACGCCGTATTTCTGCACTACTTCGACAGACGTGTGTAAAAAGAGGTGCTTTCGTCATGGATGCTTGGACTCGTCACGTGCGTGCATCGGGTTTTACTCACCGAAATCAGCGTGGAAAGTTCCGTTGCCGCTGGCCGGTATGACTATGAGCACTCCGCTACTCGAGTAGTGCGAGTCCATCACTAGAGCAGGAATTCGGATTTTGGCCTCGAAAGGTTGTGAGCCTCGTGACAACCTACAAATAGGAACAAAAACAAATCACTACAATTGTCCCACTACCTCCAATATGGCTTCCGAGATAAAACCGCGGGTACCCATACCAGAACTTCCCTGATAGCGAAGAGAGCAGTAAGTGCAAAAACAAAGTATTGAGAAAACGGGCTCAGAAGTATCTGACCAGAAGACTTTATTGTAAGAAGCCTCCGCTCTTTGTCAAATTGCCACCAATTGTCCGAAGGACTCTTAAAAATCGTTTGGACACTTAAAAATGGACTGATTTTATTTCAATTCCAATAAAAGGGTATTTTTCATTTTCATACTAGGTTATTGTTAGGCAAGACAGTATGTAAATGCTATCTTCTGCATGCTTTCGTGGTTGCACTTTGGACGCACAACAAACGCATATTTTCAAGTTGAAATTCGCAGAAGAGGGCGGCACTTTACTTGAAAGCACTGTCTTCATTGGCTCTCTGGAGGAATATTGTCACTTGCTGCTGTCTTGCCTAAAACTACATCATTTTTGCGCACTTATGGCTTTCTCATATGTCTATCGTTATGATACAATTAAGATGAATTTTGCTGTTTTAGCAATTTCAGTGAATTCGTCTAACAGAGTTTAAACGAATTTTGAAGGAAACTCGATTTCAAAAATGTGACACTTACTGCTCTCCTCGCTATCACGGCAGAACAGATAGGGCCGATCTTTTAGAAAATAGAGGAGCCGTGATACCTAAACAAAAGCCTACGGACTGATTATTGAAATTGATAGGTAAAGCTAGGGACAGAAAAACAAAGGGAAAATAGAATGGAGCGATCCTATTGGTTGAAACGAGTCGTCACTCCCTCACGAAAGAACGTAACTACATTTCAATGTTGCCAAATTTCCCCAATTGCGCAAATTTCATTTCAACTAAGAGGATCTTGGGCATCTTTAACTTAAAATTTCACTGCTTTCTTTTTCTGATCCCATGTAAAAATCAGAAAAATTTTGGACAAAAATTACATAAACTCACTAGTACAATCCTGCAAAGAATTGAATTGTTTGGGTCAATTTCGAAAGTTTGGACTAGAGTTATGTTCTTTCGTCCGGGAAACGACAGGGTGGTTTTTATACAGACTAAAGGGGAAAACGATGGACTAACTATGAAGTCTCTCGCGTTTTCCTCGAACCTTTCCTTGAATATTTTTTAAAAGTTAAGAAAATTCACAGTGATTTTGAGTAACTCAGTTGGTTTCATAATCTTTGAAAGAAAAAAGTGGGAAAACATGAATAAAGAGTTGCGAAGGTGCAGGCAGTCAGATTCATATATACTTCCGTTTAATCTGGGGTAATGGAGAAATAATAAGTCTCACATTTTTAAAAGTATACTCACTTGAGTTTAGTGATGGTGAAATTGCTGGCGCCTCGCAAATCGATATCTCGTAGCGTTATTTTGTATCCGTCAGGACCTGTCGCCAGAGCTAAAGAGAAAGGTTCCATCCTGAACGGCTCTACGGACGGCAACTGGATGTCAGGAATTCCTATAACAGACGAAAACTATGAATTATGGCACACACTATAATTTTCAATATTCTCATCGAACACGCATGTTACTTGACTGTCATAATACTACACTGAGAAAAAAAGTTCGGTAAATCCGAACTAGTTTGGATCATATGGAACCACGATTTTGTTCGGTACACACAACCGAATTATTCGGTCTGTTCAACCGAATTGTTCGGTTTGTGCAACCGAACCATAATAAATTCTTACAGTTCGGTTCAGTGGACCGAAAAGTTCGGCTGAGCAGACCAAATAATTCGGTCGTGTGTACCAAACAAAATCTCGGTTCCATATGAACCAAACTAGTTCGGATTTACCGAACTTTTTTCTCAGTGTACTAAAAATTTCGGTACAGATAACGGTTAAGTGAAAGAAAAGCGTATCCGCCAAAAAAAGTGTTTTATTTCTCGCCCAATTTCTCCGATCCTGCTTGTGTGATCGTGGTTTTATTGCGGGTGGTATGAAGAACACTGTTAAATTGTTTTGAACCGAGATATAATGAATTGGACTACATTTTGCAACTAGGAACTGCAATATCTGGTTTGACAATTTCTGAGGATACTCGTGTGTAGAGTACCTGTATAGCGAGAGTATGGACAGATGTGAAACTCCGAAAATACATCAGGCCTTCACCGATGCCTCCGTGAATGAAGTTAGGGCCCAGAAATGCAGCCAACCTATGAATTTCGAATGTCCAGAGCGATTTTTAAATACAGTTGTTACGAACCGCCGTTTATAAAGCATGTATTTGGCTTACTTTTAGCATAAATTTACTTATTTTTGCAAAAGAACGCTCATTTATGTACATTCTTGGCCATCTTGGTTAGAATTGAACTCTGTAGGCTGGCAGTGAAATTTTGTGTGTTAGAAGTTGCGCAGAGGGGTGGCTGCACTTTTGGGCCCTAAGCCCTCCATCAAGCGATCTGTCCATACTCTCGCTATAAAGGTACTCTACTCGTGTGCATAGGAAAACTAATCGTCCACTCGTTTTTTCTGAACTGATCCAGATATTATAGTTCCTAATTGCAAAATGCAGTCCAATTGTCGGAGGAAAAGTTTTTTCGTGGTTTCTCGAAACTTGACTTATGACGGTTACACCCTTCTTCAAATGAACTACATTCTGCAGTTGGAAACTATAATTTCTCGCTCAGTTTAGAAGCTAGGTATGTACCATTAGTTTCCCTAGGCCTGAAAGTGTTTTTACGGATGAACCGCAAATTTTAGTTCCGAATAGCAAACTGTAGTCCAAAAAGCCCATTAAGTTCTTGTTGCGGCAGTAATGGAAACATAAATATTTAACATTATCTTCCCTCAACCGGGCTTTACAAATGATTTCAAGCGCGTCAACGTTTTAGCGTCGCAAGAATTCTAGGAAATTCCAGAAATTTCGAAATCATGCTTGAAGTTCCCGTCCGGTGAATCATATATGAACGTATTTATGCTAAAAGGGACTATGTGCATAGGGTTAGCGTGCAACATAGTTCCTTTCAGCATAAATACGTCCATATTCTCTTAGCACAAGGAATATCTCATTATGGCAGGTGCCGGATTACTTCAGACACGTCACGTATTCGCACTTGAGACCGCTGAGCTGCCGTGCTAAGGAAGAACAGCGTATGTGCCCTCGGACGTTGCCAAATTTCCTTGGACAAAACACGATTTTCGGGAAAATTTATGATTTTTCTCCGGATTTTTCAGAGAATTTTGTTCATAATTTGATCGAATAAAAGTATCGAAAAATGTCGATGAAACATATCGACCGTGTTAGTCGGTAATCACATAACTCGGTTTTCGACGTCGCAGACTTCCTGTCACACGTTATTTTTTAAACGGGAAACTACTCAACGGCAATTCTTTAAAACTTCCGTGATTTTTCTTCTCTGCGCGAAGAAAATTCTGCATAAACTTCAAGGAATGATGTCAATTTGTTCTCTTTTAAAAGAATAACATACAGGCGGAGATTTTCAGACACCGTAATCGAGTTATGTGATTGCCGACTTACACCGTCGATATGCATAACGACGGTGAAACTACCAAACCACGTATCTCGTTTGCGGTGTTTAAAAATCTACGCTCACAATCTATTTTTTTGAAGTAGACCAAATCAATATCATTCCTTGAAATTTTCACGGAATTTTCTCCGCACAAAGAGGAAAAATCACAGAAATTTTCAAGACTGGATGTTAGGTAGTTTTTCATTTAAAAAATAAAGTATGACAGGAAGTCTGCGACGTCGCAAACCGAGGTACGTGGTTTGGTAGTTTCACCGTCGATAACTTTCTTCAAAAATAAATATTTTTGAGAGGGAGTTTGGCAACATCCGAATGTTCATACGGCGTCTCTCCTTAGCACGGTAGTCCAGATTCCAAGTATTCGTCCTTTGCCAACAACAGCATCTGTTGAACTGGTGCAATTCGGAGACCTTCGGCTATTCCGAGTTTGTTCTTCCATTATCTACTCATTCGAGACCGGAACAGCCCGAAAACATGGTGAGCGGCCATAAAGTTCCCACGACCAAAATTAAGTTGTAAAATCGCCGATCACTCCGAACACGGTTTATAGCCGTGCTAATTACACTATTAACCTGACGAAAACGTTGTTTCGACGGAATGGGTCCGGTACTTCCGATGTAAGGAACAAGGCTATTAGTAGGGGAATGTTGTTCCACTCATCTGAAAAATTGTCCGATAACTTTTTGCGGTGCTGTAGGACAATATGTGCCTAATGGTTCTGGGAGATGAAAGCACGCACTTTCCTTAACGATTGTTCCATAGGCTAAAAATTCGATTCTAAAAGAATCCACCTAATTTTTAAAATTTGAATAACATCGTTGGTACGCAGAATTCATTGCGCCGAAGCTCAAAAGTCACCCTAAAAGGCAGGTCTCTCCCAAATATTCCGTAAAATAGCTCATAAGAAAAGGGACATAGCTCGGGACGGATCGGATATAAAGTTTTTGATTGAAACTGTAAATTTTGATGTTGATTTTGTTATAACTTAAAGTTATGGGGACTTTTTCTTTAAAAAAAAGTTTGACAGAAATAAACCAATGGAGCCGTTTATAAACTTCTATCTTTCCTCAAACAGCTCCTGTCCTTGGGGCGCCCAGTTGAATATTAAAACCAACGAATTAACTGGGAAAATTCTAAATATTTTTCCTCCAATTTTTCAGACAGTCTCGTTCCCAGTTTAATCTAAAATATCGGTAAATTTTAAGGAAAAATACGCATAACTTCCTACAAAAATACATGTTCATACGGCGTTTTCCCTTAGCACGGCAGTACTTATTAACCAGCCGCTACCCCCATTGAGATCGCTCCGTTTTACCTTCGTCATCTTTATCTATCGTTTTCTCTATAAATTTCAATAATCAGCCCGTTGTGTGGCTGTGCGCGAAGTCCTTTCGAGAAGGGAGGAAGTTGGTATCCCTGTCTCGAAGAACCGCGATCTCGGTGAGCATGCGTCACCTAGACGAGGAAGTGTTGGTTTAGGTGTAACCACTTTCTCCGGTGCGAGATTAATGGCACATCATGAGACTGGTCTATATTTTGCAGCATCCGGGCCGGACGTTGCTCCAGTCACTTCGGGAGGATACAATCAGAGCACAACTAGTTCTAGAAGGATTTCTGGTGTCCCCGATCGCGGATTGATGATGGACGAGAAAAACGCGGATACAAAGACAATATCTCGTCACCTTCCGGGCAAAGTATCACAAGCGCCATGCTATGTTTAAAAATTTCCTCCGCCATTTTATTTTTTTACAGAGAAATTATTCAAGGGAGCTGTCTGAAAATTTCATTGAGTTTTCTTTGTGCTGCCGATAAAATTCAGTGACATTTTCAAACAGATTCAACCAAAACTTTCTCTGTAAAAAAATAAAATGGCATGGGACATTTTCAAACGTCGCATGGCGCTTGTGATACTTTGCCTGCAAGGTGACGATCTGTTAAGAAGCAAGGCAGTCGAAAGGTACGAAAAAAAAAAACAAAATGTGATCACCATAGATCACATCTTACATGTGTTAATTCTGTGTAATTTGGACCGCGTTAAGCAGAAGGGAACCAAGCCACATCAGCTACTGCCAAATTTAACTGGGCAGTTTAATTTTTTACATGAAAACGGTCGTGTGGACATTTGTGCAAATTTCAATAAGTTTTCTGCATAGTACGAAGTAAAGTCCATAGAATTTTTCAAGAAATCCGCACAAACGTTCTCTTATAAAACATTATATTGCCTAGTTAAATTTGGCAATATTTCATGTGGCTTGGTTCCTTTTTGCTAATAACGGTCCATTTGGAACAAATAACATCCTAAAATGGTCATTTGGCAGCAATGTGTCACTGGCTTTTATTAATTTTCATTGATTTTCGGAAAATACGGAGTTAACTAAGTTTTTAAAAAGAAACGCCGTTTTGAAAATTTCAAAAAAAGGACCCGTTTCGAACGATCTTTTTGACGGGAGCTGATGACGTGGTCAGGTGGAGGTCATTTGGCTAATTACACCCACGGATGACCATTGTGCAAGAATGTGTCAATGGCGACCATTTTTCCTTCAATTCATTTTCTGAAAGGACGAAGTGAACTAGCCTTCCATGAATATCTTCAGATTTTTTTTTAACCCAAAATGGCAAAGATATTTCTAAACATTTTTCATCTCACCTCAACTATCGTAATGGTCTCATGGTGATACACCAATGGAGAAACTCCTATTTCTGACGAGAAATGAATGGTATTATTTCGCGAAATCTGACAATATCGGTCTTGAATAATGTGCCCTGTGTTTTTGCGGTTATGCAATTGCAGTTCCCGCGTTTAACTTATGCGCTTAGCCTTACGCGAGAGTTGTCGCGCGGAAACGACCACATTTTGTACTCATGAATGAGAACCGAAGGTTCAATGATCCACTCCGTGACAGATTATTTTTGTCCTCTGCTGACCTGAAGTGATGTCATTTTACAACCTTAGACGGCAGCAACTTTTACGCAATATATAACTTTGAGTTCAGTGCCCCGGCATTTTTTTTTATTTTTTATTTTTGTTGCAACTCTAGTGACAGTGACTGATGAGAAGGGCTTTTCAAGTACCTGTGAACATTATTTGAAAACGTAAAGGGAAACCCTATTCCAGTATTTTTAAGCAACATTTTCGAAAATAAGTCTTTAAAAAACTACTATAATTTTTTCATAGGTGGATCAAGGGGGGCGAAGGGGATGAACCAAAACATAGCAGGAGGAAAAAGGGAAGAAAAAAAGAAAGGTGGAAGGATGAAGGATTTACATTTGGTAATTATTCATGACGAAATTGACTCCAACGGTATGTTGCTTTAATATTTCGAAAATGTTGGAAAGAAAGCTCCCGAAGATCTCCCGCCCTCCCCCCTCCCCTCCGTTTGGAGTGCCTGGGCTCGCTTATGATTTTTTTTTTAAAAAAAAATGTTAACATTTTCGGTCGAGAAAAAGGAGAGATTTAATAAAACAGTTTGGTCTTGTGCATATGCATCTCCTCACATGTTAACTCAGCGATTTGAACGTATAGATAAAAATCTTTAAAATCTATCCTTTTGATCACACAAGTAGGTCTTGGCTAATTAAATTGAAAAACTGCCTACTAAATTGTAAAAACCGTTTAAACCTCTTTAAAATTACGCAAATAAATTCGCTACATCAAGTGTGCATAAAAATAAAATAAAACATTGGAATGAAACCCGTATGAGATGTAGATATCGTTTCAATGTTCAGCAACTTAAGTTGTCTGGTTCACGCAATAATCAGATTTCAGTCCGGCCCTTCAGTTGTACATTCTTGGCGAGTATCTTTGAACAAAACCGAAGAATGTGCAACACTGCGATCAGGAAATTCATTAAACTTGGGTACTCAGGAATAAAAGGGAATGGTAAAAGGAATTTAAAACATAATCTTTTTTAATCTAAAATATTTTACGGCAGAAATGGCCGAATCCTCAGGAAACGCCTGGCTTTTTAATAGTCCGATCAAGAAATTGTGTACTAAAAATTCCAATAAATTTACGATATCTAAACACGAGAAAATAATACGAAAGAGATGAAAAGTTAAATGGATGAACTTGACTTAAAAACTTGGCTCTGAACTTAAGCTTCGGGAAAGAGTTACAATCACGTTTCCTTAATGGTCTAAAATTCCCCAGCGTGATCAATTAAGATTTTCTGATACCTGAAATTCAGTGACTTTTCCGGTTTTCGTCGCGCTTCGAAAATAAAGGAGGGACATTATCGATGTATCGATCAAATTTACGCGGACAGAGTCGTTTTAGTAAATATGCCATTATGTAGGCCAATCGGATTGATTACGATTGATCTGGTACTGCGAATTCGATCTGAGATTGTGTCAAGTCCATCACATTATTTGATCATTCGTAAGCTTCTGTGGTGTTTTATTAAGCAATTTATCGATCGTTACATAAATCGCGCATTGATCCGGAAAATGATGTTGAAAATTTATCACGGGGAAATCCTCCAGATAGATAATTTCATTTAAACTCCTTATCAGGTGAGAGAAAAGCAGGAAAAAATGTATCTGTAATTTTTATTTACGAGCACCAGTAACCTCTTTGAAACAATCTTTGCATTTTTTATTATCAATCAATCACTGCACTGTGAAATCAGTATGGAACGCCCGGTAGCCAACTTACCTCTGACTAAATATGGCCTCAGATGGTTCACTGCTTGTATTATACATTCTGATAATTTTGGGTCTGCTTCTCTGCATTGCTTAATGTAAGGTGCTGCAACAAAAACCAGAGAGGAAAAATAAGTCACATGAACAAACTTTAACAATAGGTACATACGCGAGGAATGCAGTATTTAAAGTCGCACTGGAAACCCTTAACGTCCGTTCACTTTGAATTTCTCGCGCAAGAATTTAAATTACGAGTTTACACAAATTTACGAGTTTCTTAAATTTTGCGAATATTTTCAGTATCTTGGATATGCGGGTTGCATATTCAAAAATCCGAGGCGTTCTCGCTTTACAAAGACTGTAGACTATTTTGACTGCGGCGTCTGATGCAACTATTCGTGTTCCACAGATGTGCGTGTTGCATGGTCAAAATTGAAGGCGCTTTCGCTTTTCTCACTTCCTCAGATATGCATGGAACTCGTAAGTTGTAGCACTCTAATACTAGAGTAACAGTGTGGGGAGTAATGCCAGTTGAACATATTTATGCCAGAAGGAACTAAGTGCATAGGTATTGCGTGTAACATAGTTCCTTTTGGCATAAATACGTTCAGTTAGCAACACGAGACTAGTGTATCTAAGGCTTATAATTATATAAATGCATGCAAATTAGTAAAAGCAGTATTGATCTACTCATTGTAAATAATAGATTAAGTAATAGTTAATCATTTAAATACTTTAATGCATACGATCAATGATATTTTGAGTGCGTCGATTTTGGCGGGTTTTTTTTGCATTTCCTCGTATTTTAACTTTAAACTGGATATTTTGGAAAAAGACCGATTCAATTATCATATTTGACATTTTACGCTCTTATCCTTTTTTCAAACTAACCATTTTGTACATTAATATGTCCCTAGCTGAAGAATTACGGCAACTTAACCCAGAAAATGTTATTTCCTTCACATGGACAACATTTTTTATAGTTTTCGCAGTACTTTTTTACGAATAAGGAAAAAATACTGGCGTTTATTGCGGATTCACTCGCGAAAAAAATATTTTGGCAGTCTGGCAAGGCCGCTGCAAGTTCAGCGACCACTCCGTTATGACAACCTGAGTCCATACCTTGCCGATCCCTTGCGTAAGGGCATTATTGATTCCCGTAAATGATGATTATTAATGTTCCTACACTATTACACAATGTCCAAAAGGTTCGGTCAAATGGGCTCATCGTCAACTCCATCACTAACAACCCGAATGGTACGGATGATTAAAAGAAATTATTTAAATGAAAAGGAACTAGCTTCATTGTGACCTGGACCATGACTACCATAAGAGTACAAGCGTATAACAGGGTCCATGCCACGATAGAAGTAGTTCCTTTTGATTTCGTTCAAATATCGATGCTTATGGATGATGAGTGAGATCTTTGGTATTTTTCAATTTCAGGTAGCCGTAACAACCTTAATTTTTAGCTCCTTCGAGCACATTTGCAAGCTTGACCATTAATTTTAGACTTAGACGAAGATAGGATGTATTTTTTCATAGATGGCACGCGGTGGACGGTCTTGTCAAGAATTTTTTAGGGGGGAAGAGGTCCGATCACACTAAATTAGGCAAAAATTTATTTCGTTCTGAAAATTTTTTTAACCTGTTTCTTCAGCATTTAAACGGTAGACCCTCCGAAAAATGATTAAAAATCAATGGAGTTTATGACTATAAAAAGACGGGATTGATTTATTTCGTGTTGCTTGCGCAAGGGAGTATATCGACGATGAAATTTCCAAACCACGTATCTCGGTTTGCGACGTTCCAGACTTCCCGTCATGCTTATTTTTTTTGAAAAACTACTCAACGGCAATTTTCAAAAACCATCGTGATTTTTCTTCTTTCTGCGAGGAAAATCCTGTGAAAACTTCAAAGAATTATTTTGTTTTCTTCTTCTTTAAAACAATGAAATAGGGGCGGAAATTTTAAAGTACCGCAAACTGGATACGTGGTTTGGGAGTTTCACTGTCGATGCGGCACTTTCTGTAGCGATATTTGCGTTTTTGCGTATCAAATGAATAAAAAATTGTAAAAGGTTAGAGGTCGGCAAAAATAGTACCAAAATCGCAAGCTGAACGGTTCTATGTAGAGATGAGGGAAATAAGAAGGCGCACTTTGACCGATTAAGCACCAAGTTGATACCCCATGTGAGCTTTAAATTGTGCCATTTTTTCGCTCACCAACATACTAATACGTTGGTAGCATGTTGGTACTAACATCTCATTCCTCCTCCTCCTTTTATTCTCTTTCTTCACCAATTCTTCTTCTCCTTTGCCATCCTTCTTCTCCTTTTTCTTCTTCCTCTCTTTCTTTCTCTGTTCTACCTGCTTATGGTATTCATCATCTTCTTCTTTTCCTTCTTTTTTTCTCTTCGTCTTTTCCCTCTTCTTCCTCAACCTTTACTTCCTCCTATTCTCTCCACCATTCTGTTCCTTCTTCTCCTTCCATCAATTTCTAATGCAACTTCATGACAAATGTTAAAAGTCCCATATTCTTCATCTGCTAGAAAAGGGTTAATGACTTTCGAAGGATCCCGGAGGAGGCTGGATGTGTAACACTCCTCCACCGCGGGTCAAAAGCTCAGTTGGGCGTGTGGCAAGCGTATTGACCGGCGGCGAAACATGGATGAGTGGTGAGCGGTGATTGGCGATGGGTGGTCAGTGACCGGGCGGGCAACGCAACAAACCGTGGGTGACCTCCGCTGGTCCACTTTGCGTCCGACGCGACGTCGACGTCCTATGGCGAGCGCAGGGGTGAAGCGTGAATTTTAAAATCGGATCCTTCGTGAATAATCAGGAGCAGGTTGCGGCGCACGTCCGTTACGTCATCCGCGAATGAAATGCATCCGAACTGGTTTCGGTGACCCCGCGCGCGGCTCCCGGCTCCCGCCAAACTCAGCCGCTGGATTTTAGGGTGGATTTTAGCGCATATATATATCCGATCAGCATCTAGGATATATATACTGCTCCAACAAAGGAACGTAACTCCACTTCAAGGTTCCAAAATTGCCTCGAACAATCCGGGTTTTTTACAAAAATGAACCTAAGCAATTTTTCACAAACTGATTGCCATGGACGCAAGGGTCGTAAGACAGTGTGTTGGAATTTTTTAGCCAACGTCGTGCGTTAAAAATTCAGCATTAAGCTGATATATCAATACAAAGGGGAAAGGCACACACACAAGCACAAGTTTCCCTCCAAGAGATACGCTGTTCAACTATGTTTAACTGTTACTAGTGTTCTACTAAACAGCGTATCTCTTTGAGGGAAAATTGTGCTTGTGTGTGAGCTTTTGCCTTCTGTATTGAGATATCAGCTTTATGCTGAATTTTTAACGCACGTTGGCACAAAGCGCTTCGGGGGGTTGGACTGCGAAGCGGTCAGGGGGCGTACCTCCTAGATAAAAAAAATGAGTGGACTCATTAAGATTAACCGTTGACTCAATTTCCATAACACTTGAAGGATAGCTGAAAATTTTGAATCAAAACAGTATTTTCAAAGGTGTCCTTAAATGCCAGTAAATCATGTATTTTGATGATCCGTCAGTTTTGTTCATTAAGTCGAAAACATTCATTGCGTAGCCATCTTGTTAAGAAGAATGAGTATGTACAACCATCAACTCAAATCAACCATTAACTCAATTTCTCTAATACCAAAAGAGTAGCTGACCATTTTGAATCAAAACAGTTATTTCAAAGGGCTCTATGAATGCTGGTAAATCTGATATTCTGAAAATCCATCATTTTTGTTCATTGCAAAAATAGCAATTTCAAACCCGCATGGTCAAAGTTTTGATATTTATACTTGAACAAGACCGAGTGCTGAATTTCGATGACCGTGTTAAGTCTGAAGGTTGCACTATACATATCTACTTCATCAGTCTATCTACAAAAAAATCAGAATATGCCGTTAAAGCTTGTCTATTAGAAGAAATGTTGAATGCGAATATTTTATATGAGCTCACGCAAATTTATATAACAACATTTTCAATATGTCTCAAAAAAATTGACCGATAAGGCTTATGTTAAATTGCCTGTTAGCATGAGCCTCAGAACTGTTATCGCATCGGGAATACCCTATAAACTATTGCAAATTCGTGCGCATAAGCAACGATTTCCTCCATCACATAGACGCTTAGCGCGAAATTCATCGAATGAAATCCGTCAACCCAGGGCTTTCCGCGTCTCAGCCGGATTTATATCCTTAAGCTGATAAATATGCACTTATGTATCCGAAAATATGTAACCATCGCGATTACATAAAATTCAAAAGAAAATCCACACCTTGATGGATGCCTTGCTTTAAAAAGCACAGCATCTAAACGGATTAAAGAACCTGATACACCCCTGTGCTTGTGAATATTCAAGTTTTACAATGCCCAATATGTAATTTTTGATATTAATAACCGATTCACCCTGCCGTCTACGGATAGATACTGAACAGCTTCAATAGGGAAATTCTCATCGATGAGGGATCTGACTTAGTATTAGAGCGGGAAAAACCACTTCCACCGAGTTAAAATAGAGACTGGATATTCTTCGTATTTTATTCTTGATTTATGTATAATATTTAAAATTTGCATAAGTATTCTAATATTTAATCCTTGATAATACCAACCGGTCTACCGTACGTTATGTACGTAAATTTTTGGCGGAAGCACTTTCGTAAGAAATATTTATTGATAAGTATTTAAAATGATTACTATAAGACGGCGAAAAACCAGTTTCATCGACTGTGAATAGAAATAAAATTGCGGTTTCAATTGTTGACGGATTGGAGAAGTTAGAAATTCGAGACTTTTTTTTTTCGAGTAAAGATAAGTAAGTAGTTTAAAGATGAGAAAGAAAAGTACTGCCAGTTAAGATACACAGTTGAGCCCCCCTTCCCTCTTTAATTCACGCTTTTCCAACTTGTATGCAATAAATGACAACTCCGCAGGTTATATGTGCTTTATATTTGAAAAATAGATGAATGCTCTTGAAATCAATTCCAGTAATTCCCAGCTTAAAAATTTGGAACAGCTAAATTATAAAATGTTGAGTTCCCTAGAATTTCCAACGCG